TCTCTAAATGAAATACAGACAACTTCTTTTTGGCTAATGAGAAGTATAATTAAATATTGTTATTATATTGAAAGACCAATTTAGACATCAAATGTATTGTAAGACAGATAATTAATGAAAAATAGATGGTTGTGTTGTCTCAAAAACAAACCTTATCAAACTATTTCAATTATCAGTGGGACTCTTTCAGATCAACATTTCCTACTAACAGAGTGATAGTATAAATTAAAAATACAAGGAGTATTCAGATATTTATAGGGATTGCCTTTATTCTTGTAACACTAATAAATTTCAGAAACATTATAGTGACTTTTTTAATGTATTAATGCTGAAGAAAAAGTATTCACTGGTTTCTGATAGAGAACTGGCTTAACTTATTTTCCTTTTTTTTAAACTGAATTTTTAATGGGAAGTTCTAGAAATCTTTCGTGGCACAATCCCACCAAATTCCATGAGATTTTCTGTGGTGAAGTGTAAAGACATTGTAGGTCTTCAAAGTAGCCCCCCACAGCAACAGATTTCACATAGATTACAAAGTGGCAGACTTGTAATAGCTATCTAGCTTAAACACTCACCTCAATAAATGTGAGCAAATTGTAACTATTTCAGGTTTCTTTAATGATCAGAACAAAATTAGTGTTGTTCTGAAAACTAGCAGCTAAGAGTGGTTCTTAATACAATGCAAATTAGCATTGTTTAAACAGAGACAAAAATATATTCATGAATCATAAATCAAGCTACCAAGGCCATTGTATTCTGCCCTGCTTTTCTCTTGAATTTTGTCTGAAAATTGTGTAACATATTACCCATGCTCTATTTTTTTTTTCTTTTAAGAAAAGTGTTCTTGGGGAATACATAGACAGCAGAGATGCAAAAGGTATAGCTGACCTTTTGAATGAAAAATTAGAAGCAATGGAAAAGAAAGAAAAAAGAAAAAAATCTAGAAATAAGGTAAGAAGACTTACTGTGGAGCCTTTTCAAAAGACTTGCTATAAATAATAACTATTTAAAATGATGTTAGTATTTGTTCTTTATCCATAGTATTAAATGCAAATTACAGAGGCAAGATTGGGTAAACTTAACAAGATATTAACACACAGCTGCTTAAGAAATGTTTTTCCAATTGAAAAATTATTGCTACTGAAAATTTTAAAATCATATGAAAAAATATTTTTGTTTGTAGTTTCAGAGAAACTCCATTGTTTATTTTCTTGTCACTAGGATGAACTCTAACTGGTACTGAAGGTAGATACAAATCAAAATATTCTGAAGCTGTGAAGATAGAAGACACCACAAGGAAAATATAAGGATAGTTACATTGGTGACAGGACAAGACACATGAAAACAAGTTTGAGTTCACAATCATACACAACTGTATGAGTTCTGTTAAACTGTGGGGAGATGAAAACATTTTGGTTTTGGTGGAGGCAATGTTTCTGCATGTCCCTCTTCTTATATACCAGCTACCTTCTTCCTGGCCAGACACTGGAGTTGACCAGAAATGTGGACTCTATCACTTTTGCCTACCCATTTACTAGCTCCTTATATTTTTTTCTGTCTCTTCTCAAATGCTTTTTGAATGTGGCACTCAGCCTGTGGCTGAATATGCACTCAAAGCACTCTGCAATGCAGAACATAATGACGGATTGTCTATTTGACAGACAAACAGTTGGACCTGATGATTATTCTGCTTTGGGGTTGCATTATTGTCTAGTCAATGGTTAAGAAATAAAATCAAGAACTGGTAGGAGGATATGTTTATTGAATTAAATTGCTCTTGCTCTCGAGTGGATTACTCTGTTATGGCAGTGGTGATGCCACCTGGATGAACAGAACGTTGAAGAGCTTTAGTTGCTTGGTTTAGTTTTGGGATTGTGTTTATTCTTTTTTTTTAAGTAAGAAAGAAAAAATAAAACAATTCAAATGTGGTATTAACTTTCAAAGTTTAAATTATGCAATAGAAGCATCTGGTTAAGTCATTAGATCATTACTTTTATCATTGTCTTTTTAAATATGAATGTATTCTGTGGACATATTTAACCTCTTTTGGCATTACCACTTTCCCTTTCCCTGCAGACATATTTTTAGGTGGGTTTTTTTTTGTTTGTTTTTATATAATCTTCAGGCAAGCAGGAGAGCAAGTGCCTTCTTTAATTTAATAATGAACACTGTACATTGCAATGTCTCCTCATACTTCTTACTAGAATTCCTGCTCTAAAGAGTAATATTTTTCAGAGCTTCTCCATAGACAAGAAAAATTACAGCAGATGACAAAATGTCTGCAAACAACTGTTTCATGATTTCAATAAAATGCTCCCTAACTCTTGACAGATGGAATTTCCTCCCTTCTCTCTACGTATTTAGACCTAGCATGACTGGTCAGTGTATTATGAGTATTACAAATTTGTAAATACATTGTTATTGACAAGTAACTTATTTCATGAAGAAGGCAGCAAGAAATGAAGAGATACAAGTAACTGAGACATTCAACTGTTTTTCCCCTATTCTCAGGGTTGCCTCTATTGATTTTTCATTTTTGCAGCATATTATTCTAAGAATGAAGAGACTATTGCATCTATTTTTTAATAAAGTAGATCTTCTTACATCCAAATTTAACTTCAAATTCAATCACAGTTAAAAATTAAAATTTTAAAACAAACTGTTTTGGTCAGTTTTTGCATATCACTGTAACTGCACTTCCTGCCTTCTATGCCCTTCTTGGAGAATGAGGTCTAGGAAAAGTTTTGAAACATATTTAGCCTCTGGGGAAGAGGATTTAGTTTAAATATCAATAAAGTTCATTTTGAAGATATAATTCTGTATCAAGGTATTCTCTTTGTATCCAGATTTTTAAATTTCTGAGAGACCAAATGGATGCAGCTGGGTGGGGGAAAATAATCTTCCAAATTAGATGACGGAGGATTTTCCACATTTTCATGGATTTTTTTATAAAAAGACTTAAAGTGTTCTATTATTTAAAGTTTTCAACAGGAACACACAAGAACTTACTCCATTTACTGAAACTTGGCATCTGAAAACAGTGATATCCAATCCCCAATACTTTCAACCTTGGTTTTCTCTCTCTGCTAGAACTCAGTACTAATTTTATATCCCCAGATATGTAAAGCCGCAACAATTTTGATAATAAACACCTAAAGGTAAATTATCAACATGATACTAAGTACTTATCCCTAACACTGAACAGACTCCTTTTACTGCCAACTTTCTAGGATTTAATAGACTTCTCTAGCTGCCAACAGATAATAATTACAGTTAGTTGAGAAAAGAAGAAAGTTTCCCAAATTAATGTATATGACAGCTGTATTCCGCAGAGTGTTTCTTCACTAAGACCACAGAAGCCATATTGGTTAAAATTTGGAGTGTAATTCTGCAGAAGCCAATACTTCCTGTAAGAAAATTACTACTTTACTTAAATGTCATATTATCAAGAAAACATTCAAGAGCTGAATTAAGTAGGGGTTGGGTTGTTATAAAAACACATTAATTCTAGTTAATTCTTACTGTACAACTGAGCTGACATGGAAAATACAGCCTGAAGATGTTCTGCTTTTTAGGGCTTAATAGACAAAAAGCAGAATATTGGTTTTCCATAAAGCAGTTCAAATTAACATGAAGAAGATATAATTTCTGCATGTTATAGGCTGCTATGGAGTCACATAAAGTTCCCGTATTCTTTTCCTACCTTAACAGACACATTACGAAGAATACAATTCAGTCAGAATAAATTACAGATCAACTAGAAATTCATATAGCTGATGTGATTTGTTTCCAGAAAATAGTTTCTCCCTATAATATGTATTTTAAATAATACTTATAATCCTACTAGAAAAAGAAAATAATTTCTTTCTCTTGTTACATGTGTATGTGTACATTAAGCAATCCCAGTTGTGCTCTTGTAGATACGTAACTCTTTCACCTGGCAGGTAGTTTATTTCAGTTAAGACACAAGATCTCAGCTAGTCCAGTAACAAGCCCATACCCAGGATACTTCATTTTTTCGTACCCAGGGTGTTGTTTTATTTTTGAGGAAGTTAGAGCAGAAAAATATCCTATGTAAGCAATGGAGAAAAGTTACTATATTCCCACCCTGTCTTTTCAACTGTAGTTCAGTGCTCTTTTTGTGTTCACTTACTTTATTATCCTACCTTTGGTCATGAATCATTATTTCTTGAACTAAAGCTGCATTTGTGCTCCTCAACTTCATGCCAGAAGCTCCTCAAGTCCCACCACTCATCTTTACACCCACAGAAGGCAGCACTACCTCTGGATTGAGTATCCCATCTTTTCCTTGCTCATAGCCCCATGGGGGGACAGGTTCTGATGCAGTTTCATACTGCAGCAGGTGAAAGAACTCACTCACCTGGCAAAAAATGGTGATTGCACATATAACAGGTAAAATCCTCAAGTTTTATATAGAGTTTTATATTCTAGGACTGAACAAGTCCCCTTCCCAGAACAAATCACAAATTATTTTAAGCCTTAGCAAAGAGGTTAATATATACCAGGTTAATGTTAATATATACCAGGTTAATGTGAAACAATCAAGAGAGTACATTTCTTTTCAGACCTGCTTGGATTTTTTTCTTTATCTAGTCCACTTAAAAAAAGATTATGGAAATACCTGGAATGTGTTCTACATCGTGGCAGAACTGGGCAAAGGCACACCACCACCTGCTGGACAAAACTGGATCCCTGTCTCACACACCATTGTGGTGAACAGCAGCTGCAGGGAAGATAGAACTGTGTAAAAGGTTATTTGTACATTCTACTACCACTGCCCTGGGGAGCTGCCCAGAGGTGCTGCTGCATCACAGGAGACAAGCTGTGAGGTACAGAGACAGGACAGGCATTTTACACTGCACACAAAGCTGGCACTCTCCAGCACAGCAGTCCCTGCACAGTGAGCAGTGGGCTTGCCTCTGATCAAGAAAATGGGGTGCAATGAAACCCAACTGCTCCACACATGGAACAGACTCAAGTATACTTTAGTCACTTTATTTGTATCTATATACATTACATTTTGATTATCCAAGTAGCCAAGGCAATTATTCTCAAATAGTTTAGTACATCAATTTTATAAAATACAGCTGAACCAAGTTAGAATAGAAATGCATACAATATAGTACATTAAGTGCTTTGAAGAATGACTAGTCTGGCCACCAGCTAGTGAGCAATTCATTTGGTTTTGGTCATTCTCACAGAGGAGACTCCACAGGTAACTCCCCTGAGCCCACTAGAACTGCTCTACCAGCAAGAGTCCCTCATGTGCTTTTTGGGGACAGAATGCATCCCTGGGCTGCTAGAAGGCATTCTGCTGTCCACATGCTGACTCAGTCATTGCTTCTGACTTGGACAAGATTTAGACATTTGTCTCAAGGCCTCAGATCAAAACAACAGAAGAGTCAGTGTAGCTCTGAAGAAATTCAGTCTTCATATTTGCAACTGGGATTTACTTACGCATATGCAAAACCTATGTTATAAACAAAGAAATAAGCTCTGACCAAAGGGTTCATCCTTAGGAATTCTACAGGGACACAGACTGAACACAGCCTCCCAAGCAGCTCTCAAAGATTTGTTCTGCATTAAGTATTGCTCTCCTTCTGAGAAAATTAAGCTTAGTAGTAATTGAAATGTCAGGACAACTATCATACTGAAAATGGAACATTTGAGGAGACCCATCCAGCTGCAGGGATTTGGACTAGAAATGCTTACAGCTTTATACCACAGGACATCCAAGATGACCCAACTCCAGCTGATACTGCAGCTACTGTGATACTCATGACCAGTAGTTTATACTCCAGTCTAATCAGGACTAGTCTATCAGCCACATCCTGGCCAAAAATTAACTGTTGATACCAGCTCAAGATCATTCCTAAAAATCTCTCCAACTGCTGTAACTTCAGCCCAAGAAGGTGGGCCATGACCATTCACGTCTCTGGCTTTGTTCACAGGCTGCAGAACAGTGGAAGATTCTCTCTCCCTTCTACAGTGCTGAGGGCCTCGTGCTGTCACGTTCAGAGGAGTAGCAGCCACTGTCAGATGATGAAGCTGCTTACAGCCATCTGCTCAGGACTCTGGCAGACAAGCAGCACAGAGCAGCCACATATCCCAGGAAAAGATGAGGGTTACTGGTGACAGAACAGACTGGGCTAGCACACCACATCAGCCTAGAGCAGGTGCCATGCCCACGCTCATGCTCCATCCACCAATCCACATACTGACCAAGGTGGAAGACAACATAATTAGCTGCTGTTGGGTCACCTTAGCTGGCCAGGACAGTCAAGTTTTGCCTGTAAACTTTAAGGGAAGGAGGAGAACACATGTAAACTTTAGCTGAGACTGGAACATAGGCTGCATGGCAGGTTCTTTCACATTGATGAACCAAGACAGTAGGTAGAGGCCACAGAAGTGGGAGTAGCCCGGAGCTGATGGACTGGTTGCCCTCAGTAGACAAGGCCACACACAGAACCAGGCAAACTGGGAGAACATTTCAACAAAAGAGGCAAGATGCATCCCAGAGGTGATCAGCTGTGCCTGATGTGCTGTGTTGGACTGAAGCAAGGAGTACTGTGTTCTCTTTCCACAGCACATATCACTGCAGCCTTCAACAGTGCACCCCCAGAAACAATTCTCACATTGCACTGAGGAAATCAGTACACTTGCTTTTCTGCTGCTTCAAGGCCAGCATCTTTGCTCATCCTCTAGTACAGTGTTGCAATAGGGTGGGGAAGGCTCCTTCCAACACAAATTACTGTTGCATCCTGGCAGCTCAGACAAGAGCTGCACTAGTTGGTTTTGGAGCAAATAGCTCAATTCTCACTGCTGGCCTTTTCCTCTCTCAGTGCTGCCTACTGCTGGTCACTCCTAAACAGCCACCACCATCTGCTGCAGAAAAAAATACTGAACACAGGAGAACTGAACAAAATGCACGTTTCAATCCATAGTTACACTGATGAGGGCATTATGAGGCAACTGGTTAGAATGAGCAAGTGATCACTAAGAGCTATCCTGTCCCAGATTCCGTGTTCATTTGATGTTCTTCCATCAGAGACTGGAAGTCAAAGGACAGTATTCTTGCCTTTCAAACTCATTACAACTCCTGTTATTTACTGGCCTGTATTATAATGAAACAAAAAAGTAAACTCATCACCTCAAAAATGAGTAAAGTTTTTTTTTAAATGGAAAGAAATGCTTATTGTAATGATACAGAGACTCACAGATCTCTGCACATCTTATGCATCATACAAGATACCTGTTAGTTCAGGTTTTCCTTTTTACAGAAAACAACAACCACATTCATCTCCGTGACCAAAAAAAAATCATGACATGAATGCAAGAAAAACATTCTCCTGGCAAAATTTCACCATGAGGTAATTGCATTGCTTGAAAGTAAAGGGAAACTGAAATGGATTTGAAGTGATCTGCCAGGAATGATAGTTGCATTAAGAAGAAAGTTGCAGTATTCACTTTGTCTAGCAACTCACTACCTTTACTAAGGAAAGGGTTAATCTGCTTCATAACTATAATCAATCAAGTCTTGTTAAATTAAAGGGTATGTTAGTTACCTGTTTCCAGGAATTTGAGCAACATTCAGATCAAAGTACTGTTTAGGAGTGAAGGGATATGTTTTGAGTTTGCAGTATACTGATGACTGACAATCCATTTTTAGGGGATTCAGCTAAAGTGCAATTATGACAGATAAACCAGAGCTGTACTGCAGTAACATAACTTAAAAGATGGAGTCAAACGGCATTATAGATGTGTAGCTGCCTTAAAAAAAAATACTGTTTACAGAACCTAGTAAGAATTAAAACTATGGAGCATAAACAGCACAAGTTATTAATGGATCCTAAACAGGTCAATTACAGACCTTGTAACAATAGCAGAACTCATTAATTAACTTCATTCTTCTCTCCCCCATCCACGTTTGGGGAGTTTATTTCACATTTTCAGTACCAAGTATCCACTACAGAAACATGAGCTGTATGTATTCAACACCATTTTGGCAGTGCAAGACTTCCAGAGATCGTGTACTTCTTCACCATCAGGATCTGGATAGAATGCCAGTCCAGTACTTAGAAGGAGATAGCATCACCTTCCCTACTGACAGCAGGGATATCACTTATCAGTGCTGTTCAGTGGTACCTTACAGTTTAGATCCTTACTGAGGCAGGTTTGCTTGTTATCCTCCAAGAGGGGATTAAAGTGCAAGCAGATTTCATACTCTGCAACATGATGCCCATGGTCAGTGTAGACATGGAACTGCAATCCTCTTGCTGCTGGACAGACTGCTGGAAGAGAGTGGCCTATGATGTCATTGTCCTCTTGTGCTTTCCCAATATGGGCTTTAGGTCAGCAATTCAGGCCCAGTCCTGTCCAATGGTCTGGCACCATCAGGAAATACTTGTCCATAGCTTCACAAAACCTGGTCCGGTACAGCTCTGGAGAGACCACAGTGGGCATCTTACCTAATGTGTAAGAGCCAAGAGCAGTTAGAAATGGGCTAAAGATACTGCAGAACAGACAGATGTCACATGAGATTACACCTTATAAAGTTCAACAACAAACAAGCATAAGGTTTTGCACCTGGGAAAACATAATGCAGGAGCACAGACTGGGATCTCCCTGGGGAGCAGCTCTGTCAAAGAGACCTTAGGATCCTGGTGGACAAGCAGCTCAGTGGGAGTGAACAGTGCTGCTGCAGCAAAGAAAGCCAGCAGGAAGGACATCACCAGCAGAGAGACAGAAGGACAGAAGTCATTATCCCACCAGTATCCCAGCATTATCTTCCACCTGGAAGGTGCTACTTCCAGGCCATACCTGGAATACTGGACTCAGTTTTGGTCCCTGCTATATTAAAAAAAAAAAAAGGAAGAAAAAAGATGTGGACAGGCTGAAGAGGGTCCAGAGAAGGGTCACAGAGATGATCCAAGGACTGGGAAGCCTGCCATATGAGGAAATGCTGAGAGAACTGGGTTTGTTCAGCCTTGGAAAAAAGGCTGCTTAGAGGAGACCATATCATCACGTTCCAGTATTTATAGGTGGCTAAAAAGAAGATGGAGACTCATTTTACAAGGAGCCACATGGAAAAGATGAGGGGTAATGGATATATGTTATTCCTGGGCAGAGTCCAGATAGACATAAGAGGAACATTTTTCTCAATGAGAACAACCAGCCACTAGAATAGTCCTGCCAGTGAAAGGATGGATTCCCCAACAGAGGGGATTTAAGATTCAGCTGCACAGGGTATTAAGCCATCTTGTATAGACTGTGCTTTTGTCAAGAAAGGTTGGATCAGATAGCCCTTGAGGTCCCTGCCAACCTGGTATTCTATTATTCCTTCCTCTGTTCTCAACAACTTAATCTGTCACAAATTTGCATTGTGGGGAAGTTGTGACTTTAGCAGTGTTATAGAAAGCTTCCATGTAACAAGGAAATGAACATGAACAAAAACATGAACATGAATGAATATGATCAAAATATTTGCTTTCAGTCTGGACTTACCTTGTCCTCCCAAGATGCCAGTTGACTTTACCACCATTTCAAGCTTTTTGTCCCAGGTAAAAGTACGAATATAATCTATTACAATAAAAAAAAAAATCCACACACAAATATGTTTTACTTTTTTTAATCCAAGTAACACTGTTTTAAAATGTATCTATTTTCCCCCAAAGAGGGCAGGAAAGCAGCAGTGCTTTATAGTCAGAGCTTCAGTGTTTTCCCTACCAGTTGCCTCATTTTCTGTATTATGTTTGTGTAGGGTGAATACAGTCTTTCAAAAGTCCAGCAAGATCACAATCAACTCTTCCTGTCTCCACAAGAACAGGCTGCCCAAGCACATCTGTCTTTATCCACATTAGAATGTCAAGGGCTCATTTACAAGGGTCACTTCACTCAGCCTCATCCCAGAAACCCCACTAGAAGACTGAGGCTTGGCCTCCATTTAAACCAGTATTTGTCATCACTGCAGCCACCTGCAGGTTTGATAACAGAATGGAAGGGATTGCCACTTTATGATAGAGAGGACTGGAAATATCACCTACCAGTCAGTGACCCTGACTGGCAGAGGGGGCAGCAAGAAGACAACGTCTGAATTGTTTCCAAGCCCTTCCAGAGAAGGCATGCTCAGTCACAAGCACATGAACATTTGGGCCTGCAAAGCTAAAGCTGCAGTAAGACCAGTTTTCAGAGACATAACTTGTTTCCTGTATCACATAAGGATCTAAACTAGGTAAAGATACTGACCTCTGATTCAAACACAGTCCACGCTAAGATTTCTTAGTTCCAGTCCAACACAAATTTAGCTTGAGTACTTTATAAGTTCTCTGGTTATCATCTAAAGAACATTCTGATAGCCTGATACAGCAGACATGTTCTCTCTTCTTGATAATATTTGTGTTCACCAAGTTCCTTCAGATATTTGTGTTAAACACTGAAGGAACTGGTAACTTTAAATATCATGTATCAGATAAGACTTGACATAGGGCAGCAAAAAACCACACACACAGTAGAAGCACATGGTCAGTGTAGTCCCATCCTATTTGTTCCAATATTCAAGAGTCTACAAATCTAGAAAGTAATATCAACTTGCAACAAATAAGAGCTTGCTTTGTAGCTGTGACTTTAGAAAAAGAAATGTTATTGAAATGGCTTTTGAGCTTTATCAGAATAAGTGTAATCCAGACCTCCTGTTCTGAGATCTCATCTGGAAGCATTTCTGAGCTGGGTTTCATGACCATTTCCCTAAGTCAATTCCACATCCTGCAAAATTGCCTCATCTCTAAGTCTTTTGTACTACAGAAGTTTGTCTGTCTCAACCATCTCTTTTTCTGTCTCTACTTTCCAGTCACAAGTCAGAGGATGCAAGTAAGGTAATTACTGCATTGCCACCCACATTATCCAGGTCAGACTATATGATTATATGAGATCCCATGATGTTTAACTTCTTTCTTCCAACCCTACCAACACTGTTTCTCCTTAGAGCCCCTCCACACAAGATTGAAGCCTACGTAAACACAACTAAACTAAAGTTTACAGATTAAACACATAAAAGCATACAAATAACTCAACTGGAGTCAAAGTCTAGGTTAAACTACCTTTGAGGCCTCCTGCATATACTCATAGCTCTGAGCCTATGAGAGACCTGCAGAGAAGACTTACTGCCTCCACTTTGAATACCTGTAAGAGCTGAGGGTGGTATTCCACCAGGGAGAAGACAAGATTTCCTGACACACATCTCTCTAGTGGGAGCACTATGTACATCTAAACCAGAAGGAAACCCTTTCATCATCTGAGAGCAACAAAATACAACATACCAATGATGCCAACGACCAGCTCGTTGTTGGTATCATCACGCCCCACCAGCAGGGAATAGTCGATGATGAGATGGCTGGAGAGGAACTGGGAATCGCTGTGTATGGAGGCCTTCAGCACAGCTTTGCAATGGGAACGGATGTACAAAGGGTTGTCCCGAACCATCTTCAGAAGGTTTTCATCCAGCAGGACCACATCACAGGTTTCCTTGCCTGTCTCTGTTTTAACATTTCTATTCCGGAGGGAGCCCTTCAGGTCAAACACCTGCAAATGGAGAACAGCACTGCTTTGTTTCATTTTTCTGGGTTAAAGACTTCAATACCTACCACTTGAGAAGGCAGCACAGCTGGACAACTCTTTCCTTCTCTTTAGAAGGAAGGCAATTAACAAAAAAATATTTTGTAGAGAATAGCATGTAAGCCTGGGTGAAAGCTCTGCCACCGCAAGTCAGAAGTTTTAGGCAAGTTATTTCACTAATAATTAGTCTAAATTAAGAGAAAAAGGGTCCCTCTACTTTTTATATTGTTTAGGTAAACTCAGTTTTCCAGCCAGTTTCTACAGAGTTAATTGCTGACAAAAACAAAGCCACTGAAGAGGGAGATGGGTGGTGCATGAAGCACCAGTTAACACGGGCAAGGCAAATGACAGACCCATCATGAGGCTGTAAATTATCTCTGGAGTTCTCCAGTCCAAAGTCCTACTTCAAGGACTTCTCCTGCTTCTCCCTGTTAGAGAAGGTTGTTCAAGTTCTGTCCAGTCAAAATTTCACTAACTTCTGTGGAATAGAGTCCACAGACTGTCTGGGTTTCTCTTCTGTAGTGCCTGAGCCCTCCTCATGATTTAAACAACAGACAAGCAAAAAGAAAACCCACATCATCTTTTACATCCATCTAGAATTCCCTCCATCTACCTCCTCCCACAAACATTCCTTGTTTTAGGTCAGGCACTGAGAGGTAAAGTGGAAAGAACTGATCCTATCTAGGTTTAGAAGTGATGTTTGTTTGAACTTCCTTTTCAGTTTCAAATCTCTATTTAAAGAGAATTTCCCCCTAGTAATTTTATTATCTTCATTCCAATGCCTGATAAAGATGGCTTTCCTTGACTAAGAGCAAGACTGAACTCAAAATCTTGTCCCACATCTGAAGTAGTTCCAAGAAAGAACAGTGGGTTAAAAAAATAATTAATTCCCCCCACTACAGAGTAACTCTGAGTGAGGCTCTCATTTTAAACTAATTATTCTGTTATTCCAGTCAGTTCCTCTGAAAGTTTTGTAAAAAGATTTTACATTTTCATAACCAGTTTAGTAATGCTTTCTCTTGGACACCAGAGATACAGGGACAAACAAGACTTCTGAAGACTGAACCCTGCACAACAGCTATCTGAACTAGCCAAGAGAGGCATCAAGCTCCTGAGGATCACGTAACAAGGAAAAGGCACAAACTGTCACCCTTGAGCAGTGTGAGAGGTCAACAGCACATGCAAAGTTAAAAGTCACCAAGATGGCTACAAATGACTCTGCTCTTTCTCCCAGTTACAACTGCACTGCAAGGAACAGAACACTTTGCTCTTACCTGAGCCATTTTCCTGCCATAGAAAAGGTTTTCCATGACAAGCAGATCCAACTTCTTTTCAGTGTTGTTTTGAGAGTTCTTGTAACCGATTCGATACACCCCAAGGATTTTAGCCAGTGCTGTGGGCTTCTAATGAAGACAAGACATGGGTTAAGATCTGTGTAGAGACAATCAGTAATCCCATACCAGAAGCACCACTGTTCTGTCTGTGTATTACAGCTCAGAAGTCCAAGCATAATTTCCACTTTACATCTTAAAAACCCATTATTAATGTAACTCACACCCTCCAAAGTTTTCTTTTATTTAAATGAAAAAAGTTAATAGAAACTTCTACTAGTCTTTAAAATCCAGAACACTGCCTAAAATAAAAAGCACTTTTTTTAATACCTTCTGCTGAACTGCATTAGTGATGTAAGTGAAGTAGTGTGGAGCAAAGTCAAGGAATGACTGGACTTCCAGACGAGGCATTTGCTTCAAGATGAATCTATCATCTGTTTTAACATTAGACAGAGGCAACAGGGTTACATACAATAAGTGATGCATATTTACAATTTTTTAGGATTATCACATAGCTGAAGTGGTTTAAAAAATTAAAGCACTACAATTCTCTTAAATACTTACCCTCAAAAGTTCATTTCTAGATTCTTTTTACTTCACATATTCTGAATTTCAGCCTCCCTGGATTTCTACCTTCCAGTAAAACATGGACAAGAGACTGACTACACTAGGTCTACCTCAGCTATATAGTCTTCCTATATAGCCAAAAGAAACTGCCTACAGACTACTTTGTTCAGTACTTGTTTTACATAGAAGCCTAGAAATGGCCAAAGTTCTAAAAAAAAAAAAATTAGATTCACAATAGCACATGAGATTATAAGACACACTGTCTTTAACAACAACTTTTCCTTGAATTTTACTCAAGTTTTTGTTGTCTGAAGCCTGCCTGAGAGTACAACCCTTCGGTTCAATTGGCCTTCCTAACTGCTACTGCTGAAAAACAGAACTTTATTTTGTTTTCCTGCACATACAAACAGACAAATAATTTGATATTGAAGACCCCAGAACAACTCAATTTTCCCTTCTCAGTGACCACTTAACAATCGGCAGCCCTCTGGACAGAGGTTATCAGGGATCAAATGACACACTAACCACCACCATACAGAAATAACAGCCCGAAGTACAAGGGGGGAAGAAGCTGCATTTACCCTCAGTCACGTAGAACGCAGCTCCAGATTTGCCACCCCGTGCCTGCCAGGGCATGGAGTGAGAGAGGGATCGAATGAAATCCTCTTCACTGCTCCCCAGGATCACTTCACGCATCCTGTGAAACTCCCCAGCGTAATAAATCCGGCAGTAGAACTTGGCATTCGCATCTGAGAACTCTGCAAAAAATGGTTTTCCTCAATACCAGCATGCAACATGCACTTTCTACCCAAGACAACAGCGAGATTCTACTTGTGTCTAGAGGAGTATTATTGTGCTAAATATCTCTCTCATGCTTAGTGCAATTCAGAAGTTTCAACCAATGAGATTTAAATGGAAAATGATAGGAAAGTCAATTCCCTCTAGATAAGCTCATAGTATACGAGGGAAGTGTTCAAACAAAAGAACAATTTAAAAAAGTTTATGGAGTAGTTTTGCAAAAGAGATTGATTGCAGTAAGCAAAAATTGCATTGCTATTTTCTTGATTTGCTTTTCCTTCATGATACCAAGAATACCAAGAAAAATACCAAGAAAAAACCACCATTAACTTCAAGACTTCCACTGCATGTGCATGAAGAAATGCATTTCCCAGCTAAAACTAAGTTGTTATTTACAACTACTCACGGAGTTCCACATGGGGATTCACCACCTGCTTCTTCTGTCCATCTCCTCCATCTCCATCATCTGAAGGCATAAAGGGACATTTGGTCAGGGCTGTTCACTATTATTACTGAGAAAGCCACATTAGTTACTACTTGTAAATTCACTTTACAAGAAAAAATATTTTTTTTTTCAAGAATACAGTGGGAACTATACACAGGGAATTATAAATACAGCTATAATTGTATAATATAATACATATGCTAGAAGGGCACTGCTGTTTATGGACACAAATCCAGCCTCTCTCTTCATTCATTCTCCATGAGCTAAAACAATGAGAACTAAAGTGAGAAACTAAGAACTAAGGGCTGCTTAACTAGAGCCAACTCAATCCAAAGACATTCAAGACCAGACTACTCCACGTCCCTATAGCTTGAATTTGAAAGATCCCGTTTCCCCTATTATAAAGAAAAGGCATTTACTTAGGAAAAACACATATTTGATATTCAAATGATTCATTTTCCATGCATGCTGAGTAACCTTGGACTGCTGAAAAAGTACAAGCAGGAGTGCATTTGGGGCCTTATATGGATGAATGAGGTTTGGGAGAAGTAGCAAGGCAAGAGAGAAGATGAACTCTGCAGTCTTGTACCTTGTGCCTCTGCTCCTTGGTTTTCTGCTCCCTCCTTGCCCATCTGTCCAACCTGGTAGTAAGCACTGTCAGCACCACGTAAGGTCTCTTTCTTCTGGGAAGACAGGTCTGGGCTCTTCCCTCCCGTGCCACGGAAGAAAGACAAAACACCAGATGGCTTCTTTGCTACAGTGAAAAGGAATACAAAAGATGGTGTTGGCATTTTCACAGGCAGTTTAATAACAGCATGACTCCTATGAACATTCCACATTCATTGTTCTATGTGAAGCAATGATGCCATTAAACTATAACTCATTTGCAACTTCAGGCAACTAAGGTCCATGAGGGTGGATTATCCAGTGTTCTGAGTAGCATCCTAGGGTGCAAAGACATTTGAAAACACAGACCAAGAATAAGTGCTCTAATACAGTAAGAACTCCATGTCTCCATTTCAAGATATTTTAACTGCATCTCGTTAAAGAAGGCAATGCCAAAAGAAGGGCATCATATCCCACTGAACAGGCTAGATTCAAGAACAACCCTAGGTTCACTACATAATAACATTAAATCAGGGAATGACAGCTTGATCTCATAATAGTTCTCATAAGAACTGTTGATCTCATAAGATCTTCATAAAACTAAAAAGCCCACACACTCCCATCCGTCTCAAGTGTTACATTAAGTTGACACTAAGACTAGCCACAATTTCAACTCAGAATGCTTCTTTTTCTTCCACACATGAACTAGAATCCAGTTAAATGGACTCAAGAGAGAGCTGAGATGAGCACCATGGATGATTTTGGTAAAACGGCCTTACGCTGCTCTGGCTCTGCACTGCGAAGGGGACACATGTTAGCCTCAGGCAGGCGGACGGGGCTGCTGCTCTTGGGTTTGCTGTCTGACATGCTGAAAGGAGAAAGAAGAAGTGATGAACCAACAAATGCTGCCACCCAAGACACTACTGCTTTATGCCTGGACATTTATTTCTCTCCCCTACCTAAACACTAAAGGAAAAAAGACACCATTTAAAGGTGTAAGAGTGGGGGACTCCCCGAAGTTGTCCTCCTTCGTCTTCCTAAAAAATATCTCTCAAGGTCCATAGCAAAGTTCCATCCATGACCACAGCAAAGTAAGCAGGCCCAGTATTCCTACCATGTACACAGCCAAGAGATTAGGTGATGGAGCCAGCATGGTCTATAATGTGAAATGGAAACTCACATACTGAAGTATGTGATGGTTACATGGAATGAGTCAGATTCCATCAGAAAGCAGAGATCCTAACAGGGGCATATTTTGAGGGTTTTTCCCCATCCTAGTTTTGGTTATTCACTACCATCACTTGGTCCTCATTCTATGTACAATAGTTCCTGCATGTAACCTGTTTGGTTGTAGTCCTTCTTCAGAACTGCTCTTCAGAGACGCTTTGGACAACTCATCCAGGGCATTTCTGTACTCCTTGCAACTGATGAGGAAAGAAGAAAAGAAAGGGAAAGACCCAAAATAATTAAGTGTTCTCCTGGAAACTCTGCAATACCAGCCCAAAGACTCAGTTCAGAGACAACCACAGGAAACAAAACACCACAGCAGAAAAACCTCTGCTTTATTTTTTCTTATTATTAGAACTTTTGTTTTTCTTAGAACAGAAGCTGCTCTAGACAATACTGCAGGAAAAAATATCCCCTTATTTTTCCCCCTCCCACAATTTAGGAATGTACTTCTTCAAAAATCTGCTGCCTTTAATTTAAGAATGCATTTCTTCAAAAATCTGCTGCCTTGTGACATGCAAACCCAAAGGTTTACTGAAGCAGCTGGTGAGAAGAGCTGAGCAGTAACAAGAGCTGCTATGACCAAAGGTAGGCAAGAAAAAGACTGGAATATCAATACTAATAGCTGTTCCCCAATTCACTTGCACTTCCTCTAGCTGGAGAGGTTAAGCAAACCTTAGTTGCACTTCTTTCTCTAGTGATAAATATCTCATTAAAAGAAACACCACACAACTAAGTCATTTTTGTATACTAGAGTTCCACTAAAAAGTCCAAAAACCAGTTGCACTTTCATTATCTCAGCAGTAAGAGGAAAGAACCCCATCTCTGGCAGAAACTCTAACAGGGCTTAATATAGAAATTCTGTCATGCTTGTTCCCTATCATCAAAATTTAGATATTCCTCAAACACAAAAGCTGCAAAAGTAAAGTATCTCAGATGAAAAGCCAAATCACACCAGTACCTGAGAGCAAAGGCTATGATGGAGCTTGGTTCTTTCTCACAGACTGCAATAGGTACACGTTCATGCTCATACATTAAGTAGTGCTTATCTGGGTCACTAAATGAAAACAACAGACTGTTAGTAGGTCATAAAAATTTGTGTAAAGAATAGAAGTTTTGGTCAAAACACAGATATCATCACTGCACTCCCAAGCACAAGCTGCAAGTCTCAGCATAGAACCCAAGTTCCCCAGATCAGCTTCTCCCAACAGACACATTCATAACTATGTGGTTAATTCTAAATGGTAGTGTTAGGGAAATCAGCATTTCAAGCAAGCTGCTTGGATCAGAAGACCAGCTTTAGGTTAGAATAAGAGTCTATTTCTGTTTAGCAGCCCCTGTTTCTAATGGCACCAAAACCTGCCTGAGTTTGATTTGACTATCCAGCAGCATAGCCTGCAGACTGAACTTAGGGGACAAACATGGACTCTTTTCTAAACAGGCAGTTTATCACAGAAAATTCCCCAAAGCCTCCTGGATTCTTGTATGATTTTTTTCCACTGATCTGTAGGGTCAGTCATTTAGCTTTTACCTCATCAGCCTAAGGCCTGTGCTCCTACACTGGGGTGGGATTCCCAAGTTAAACTCAGGCTGCCAAACATTAGGCTCATGTCAAACGAGAAACACTACAAAGCACGCAGACCAAGTAGCTGAAAGACTTTCCAGCCTGCCCATCTTCACACCAGAGGGACACTTGAGGGCACATGCAGTAGCCATTGAACCTGACCTACACCCAGACAATGCCAATTTGAGTCCAACCCTTGGAAGAGCTCTGGAAGCAAAAACAAGATGCAGGCATGTAGCTTTAGTTAAGTCTTTGCTAAGGAAGGGCATTTCCACTCCCTCCCTGCAACAATGGAGCTAGAAGGCACCTTTCTCCCCTCTTCCCCATCCCTTCATCTCCCATAAGAGCCCTGAGGAGGCATGCCTGCTAGGAGGAAACTAATACTGGCTTTACACAAGGGCAGATTACTCATAAGAAAGGTGGTTAACCTACAATCACCTAGAATGGACTTAGAAAACTTCCTACCTTGACAAACTCAGGCAAACTCAAGTAACAGCTTAAATTATACACTGAGCAAAGGAAGCATGCATGGCTCTGCCTGCAATCTGACAAGGCTGCTGATTTTGTACATTTTATATATATTATGCAGTACTTACAAGGGAAAGGGAATGGGGTTATAGTTGTTTCCAGGCAAAAAGTTAGCCAAAATAGCTTTCATAGTAGACTTCTCCTTCACTTGGCTGTCTGTAGATCCCAGTGAGTGTCCATCAAACACATCTGGAAAAGACATATGTCAGGTCTGCATCACAATATCAAATTTTAAGCTGTAAATTCAGAAGGATGACGACAGACCACAGAGTTAACAGTTATTTGTCACTTCCTAAAAGGATTTTGTGGACTTGGCACAGAAAAGCAAGAGAAAGAATACAAGATCACAACTGAACTATACCTTCTGAGCTGCTTGTTGTGTCCTGTTCAGAGAGTGTGCTGGCACCAGTCATATGCTCTGATGCAACCTCTGGAGAGGTGGGCAGCTGTAGGTGGGTGGAGCCTGTGGAGCTCTGACTTGATAAAGTTGTCAGGAAACGATCCTCTGAGAGTACAAGGACAGTTAAGGAGAGAAGAAATAATTTTACAAGGCTATGAGAAGTGATACTGTTTGCTCCCAGCCCAAACTATAACTAGCACCCACTTTCAGGAAGTTTTTACTTAGAAAGAAGGTAAGGCCACACAGACCAAAGGACTGGGCAAGCTCATCAGTGTAACACCTCCAGAAAATGTGTACTCTTACAATCGCTACTACCTTCAGCTCACACAAACTCCCAGTATGCTTCAGAGGTAAGAGCTCTCAGCACCCATAAGCAGATCACAGAAAAGGCAAAAGGCATTTCCCAAATTCCATGTAGTTATTCAGTTAATTAGAAAGTTTCTGAAATTTTTTAAACTAAAGTTCAATGGAAAATTCTTGTTGGCCAAGTTACCAGTCACTAGTAATTCAGCTTCATATTAAAAGCAGATGGCCAACTTCTATCTTACCACTAGAAAAAAACAAATGTGACATGATGGGGATTTGGTATTTCTCTGATTTATCAAATTTGACAAAAGCTCCCATATTATGTCAGGAAAATGGCTACAACATGCTTCTATTGGTATATTATGAAAAAGAAGTAACAGACCTTTCTCTCCATTTTGCAGCGCTGGAGAAGCATTGCGTGGGGAAGCATCCATGCTGCTAATCTAGGCAGAATAACAAAACACCAACGTTGGTGCCAAGCTCTTTACAGCTCTATTTCCTCCTGTGTGGAGCACTTACAAAAGCAGATGTATTAAAACTGAGCACTCCCACCCATTTCTCAGCCTCAACCCTTATACAGCATGTCACTGTATCTGTTACCATACAAAAAAGACAAGACAAAGCAACTCAAGTTCACAGGATGCTCATGATGGCTGTTACCTCTGTATGCTGCTACACTCCCTCTCTAAGAACCTCCTTCCTGCTAGATCAAGGTAAGGTTTGCTTTAGCACCTAACAAATATGTTAAGTGGAAGGGGCATTAAGTGGAAGGGGCATTTGTGCATGCAGCAGAGCAAATCCAGGGTCTCTAGGAGTTTTTAGTGCACCTCACTACCATAGAACTATTGGAAGTTCAGCCTCTCAGTATCATGCTTATATTGTCCTTCCTTGCAGCCCAGACATTTTCTCAGAGCTCCAGCTCCCCAAAGGGTGGAAGTTCAGCATGCTGGGGTGTGTATCCTTGGACAGAGCTCTTGAGGCAGCAGTTCAAAACCATTTATCCATCCCTTCAGTCAGTTCCCACAGGATACATCATATCCTGAAAAGCCACTATCAGTCCTTCCTGCGTCATTTGCTCTATTATTTGCAATATTATTTGTCTTTTCTTTTTCACAAGGGGTGCACCTGATGGGCAACAATCTAAGGTTGAAGGAGACAACCCAGTTCCTAACTAGGCACACAGACAATGACTGCAGCTCTCTGATGGCAGTGCTCACATCAACACTACACAAACATCACAGAAAATCAGCATCTCTTTAATAACTATTAAAGAGAACTCAAGCCAATCTTAGACTATTGTGCTGCCCCAGGGGGAAAAAAAATATTTAAGAGGTTTATAGCCTATTAGCCATACCTTGCTTTCTTCACCTTGCCTCAGTCTCCCAGGGCTGGGTGGTACTGATGGACGTTTTCTTCCTTTCTCTTGTTGGAAGAGATCCTGCAATCTTAAACAAAAAAAAATAATAAAACAAACAAACAAAAACTACCCACAGAAAACCACCACCACCAAAGAAAAATTAATCAAAAGGTAGGTTACTGGTGTTATCTCTGAATGACACAAGTTATGAAGTTTCTCCATAACAAACTCAGATTGCTGCTAACACATGCCAAAGATGTATCAAATGGCCAAAGACAGCACATTTTCTTTAGCTCTGAGACTATTTCACCCAATCCATAGGTCCCATGCTCCCCCTTCCCATCTCTTCCACCATTAGTCAAATGAAAATTTCTCCTCCAGATGCAAGTTGCACTCTACAACACAATGCTTTTATCATATTGCCTCAAATGATTTTCTGTTCCAACTGATCAGCTGTGTGTTGACCAGTAGAACACATTCAGCACAAGCTCTATACACTAACTGCTCTATAGTGAAAGAAACTACAGCTGAACCTCTTCCCTCCCAGAATCAACACTGTATCAGTGTTGCTCATGATTCCAGCATGTGTCCTCTTACCTGTTATTCCAGGCTTGTAGCATCTCACAGAGTCCTTGCTTTTTAGCTATCAGAGACTCAAACACAGATTGCAGCTGTTGAGGTGTGTCCAGTGATGATGAAAGCAGCCTTGCTTGGATTTTCTCAGTCCAGTTTCGAAACTCTCCTTCTTCCATCTGCCAAAAGGAAAACTGTCAGTGTTATCTCACCAAGGCAACACAAGATCCGAGTAGCTCCTCCACACACTTAGCCTAAGGACCACTGATGTACAAACAGTCTATTACCTCCTTTTGGGCAAAGAGGTCTTCCATCTTCTCTTCCCTCGTTTTGCTGAAGGTATCTGTTTTCAGAGAGGCAAGGCGATCATCCACAGCAAGATACACTTGTGACACCCTGCCAACAGCAATGCAAAGAGTCAAGCTGTGACTACTTGGAGCTTCTTCAACATTCTTTAGAATAGTCTGAATGTGTTGAAGGTCAGCATTTAAGAATACAAAAGACAATAGATGACAGCCTTCCTGCATAGTAAGCTATCCAACTGTATTCACAGAGAAAGCTGGGAAAACTTCATTAGTAATAGGAGGAATCTGGAAGTTACATACACTGACTTTTGTCTCCACAATTTATTCTTAGCAGTGGAAGTTGTCAGAGAGCAATACAAATGTCTCAAACATTACTAACACAGGGAAACTATTGTGTTGTCTGTGTTTAGGAAGAATCTGGGTCTGCAAGCTATACCTCCACCAGCAGGGCTCAGAAAAAAATTAGTACCTCTATTTCAGCTCTAAACAAAGCTCCACAGGTTTTGAAGTCAGATAATTTAAAAAAAAAAAAAAAAGTCAGATACAGACAGAGACATACAGCAATGCTGTGACCAGGCAGAACAGCAGTCTGGCTGGATTTTACAGAGTTTTCATCTTGCCTGTCTTCCACCTTTTTGTTCCTACATTTAGAAAGTGTCTAGGATCATGGTAGTTCACCTTAGACTACAAGGAGGTAGAGTCTGCCTGCTGTTACCATATTCAATAGCTAACAAAGGCAAAGACTTTTATACACCAGAGTTCTGTTGCCACATGACCAATAGAATGACAACCGTTCTACAAGAGAACAAGAGATTTGAGCAAGGTCTTTGCAGTTTTTTGGGGCTGAAGAATTGAAACTCAGTCAGATGTTCTATAAAGGAACATTAGGATAAGAGTATGAAGTATAACCTGCAGTTTTCCAGGTCGGCCTTCTAGGACCATCTCTTCATTTTTAGCATTAGATGAAGAATTAAAAATACTTCAACTGGACATTTCATAAGGTAATGACAGACACCTGCTGATGGTCAGCCTTTCAGTAGCTTGGCAGCATTATTCAGAAACATGCTATATGACTCAGACATCAGTGAAACATTCAGAGATAGAGATGAAAAGAATCTTAGTTTCTACTGGCAATGTTTAACCTGACTTGCCACCAGACAAAGAATTGAGACATTAGTACAGACAGAGCAAACAAAGGTAACAAAGATTTCAATACCACTGTCCCTTGGAAGTATATACACATACATGTTTTAAACTATTACTTTTCTATCAAATAATGAATATTTAGCCAAATCTCATCATACTAGCAAAATTGTTAAGTGTTCTGCTAATTAAAATACAAAATACAAATAAGATTAGGAAGACATTAAAATCTAAGCTTACTTTTGTGAGAAATCCTTGAGATCCTGCAAAATAGTAACTTTTAGTGGAGCCTGTCGTTTGATGTAGATCTTGGGGAGTGGGACACACACTTCCAGCAGCCGGATTGGAGAGTAGCTGAGAAGGCAATACAACAGCTTGTAACAAGACCCACACCACACAGTACCAGTTCTACACCATACTGAGGTTTGAGGCCCTTATACGAAAATGGCCAGTGTCAATGTGTCTAGGGCTTTAGTTACTTTTAGTAGGAATAACACTGTTCATTCTCCCAGTCAAGAAGTAAAACCACAAATCATACTGCAAAACCAAAATTCTGAAAGCATGTGGAATTAGATAGGGAAAAGCATTTCCATTCTGTATCATGAACAGGAACCATCCAGTCTTGGAACACTGCCCACCACAGCTAGGACAGTGATGCCACCCACAAAGCCCTCTGCAAGCCAGCACACAATCCTGCACTTGTGGTTATAATACAGTTATGCTATCCCATGCTATACTCACAGTGAAGGACAGAACTGATGAATCCTTACTAGAGCCACATGCTTCATACAGTACCAGAGAGAGAAGGAAGGTTTTAGCAGTGGAACTCACCTGAAAGATGCCACCATCTGATTATAGGAGAAATACTGGTGATAGTCGTGGTGAATGGAATGCCCACAAGGCTCTGCGTTGGCCCTTCGAGTGTACTGGTACCCATAGAACCTCAGCTCAAGGTATTTTGCAAAAGACATAGACCAAGAGTCATTGGAAAGGGGAACAACTGGTGTCACCTGAAAAATTGAAAGGCAAGCATCTAAATTTCATCCTTCAAACAAGATTAAGGAGAGGATAATCCAGGCAGCAATCTAGTATTTCTAGTACCAGAAGCAACCACGACCCTGAAATGTACTTAACAACAAAGATAGCATTTATGCATAGCTAAGGCCAACACATAATTAAAATAAATCTGTTAAACAACTGCTAGCTGATGATGAAAGGTGCTAAGCTGGGGGAGTCCAAACATACTGCTGATGGAAGCTTATTTCTGGGATGCTATTTCTCTGTATAGAGTCAATTTCCAGCAACCCAGCCAGCAGCAAGGCCATATCATGTACTTTTCCCTGGTGATTCTGCAGCTACAAATGCATTGGTACTGCTTTGCAGTGCATTTCAACTTCAGAAGTGCTTGCCTGCAAGCTTAGAGCAGACACTTGACACACACTTAACAACCTCAACCACATAAGTGTTTACATGAGCACACAAAAATAAAAGGTTACAGAGCAGCTGTATACACAGCAACACAGAGCTTGCTGTCAGCAACTGCGTCAACCTCCTGCAGGCATCTGTACATCCAACACCCACGTCTAAGGCAGCCTAAGTAGGTGACCTGAGTCATCCATATGGGTAATTCAGATGTTTTGCATTTCAGGTACTGCATGAATCTTTTTTCATTATGTTTTATTCTCATCTCTTTGAAGGCTCTTCATGTTTAGCTAGACATGAGTATCCAGTTAGCAATGTTTTCTTAGCTAAATTACAGAACAGGTTCCAGATAATACACAATCTTGCTATCTTGTGGGCTTTTTAAAGCCATTTAATATTTCTCTAATGAAGATGTTACTTTCTAATGACTACTAAAGGAACTCCAGACATCACATTGACGCAATGTAGGCTGTTCAGTGCACAGCAGATCAAAGAACAGCAAGTGGCTTCAGCCAATTACTATGCCAGCAGGTCTTGGTGTCTGCCCTTTCTCATATGCTCATAAAGATTCACTGCAAGGGACCATACTCTTCACCTCTAAGTGAGCAACTCCATTTTTTCTGCTTAGATCTATCCTCTCAGAGTCAGTTTTGACACTTTCTAACAAGACTACCTCACACAAGATTTTTCACCCTCAAGGGCCCCAGTTCTAAAAAGAGGAATTTGTAGGTAACATGAGAACATATGTACCAGTAACAGGTTTTCTGCCAGTTTAGCCAGAGCTCCAGGCATGAGTACTTTCTCAAAAATGCTGCCTTTCCCTACAAAGCCAATCACAACAAGAGTACTAAACTGGAATAGCAGTGATTCTGAAGTCCACATGCTTACCTGTTTGCATAGTCTGCACCAGGAGTAAGTAAGGATGGTGTGCTGGTACCCAGGCACGGGGGAGTCCAGCTCCTTCAACACGATCTGCACACAGCCCTGCCCATGAACAAAGCGACGGATGTGGTGCACCATTGGTGTTTCACAGAACATGCTGGGGCATTGGTAGGAAGGCCTTACAGAGAGAAATAGAAACATCTATGAATGATCATGTACCAGGCACTGCTGAAGAACTGATTCAATATTACTTTTAATATCCTGGTACTATTTATCTTCACTGTAAAAGTCTTTTCTAAGCCTGTAGTGAAAGGTGTATCTGCAGAGCAATTTAGAAGGAGCATGTAATGAAGTTCCATCAACAGCAATGGCTGTGTAGGTCCCAAAAGCAGTGACTGGGTACTGGTTGCTATCACCTTTTTACAATGAATCACTTTCTACCAATATATTCTGTATAAGGACCAAGGCACTTGTGGAAGTCCTTTGCACCAAATTAAAAGACTGCTTTGGTAGTGTACCCAAGCAAATACTACCAAGGACAAAGATGTGACAAAGAGTCTGAAAATGGCAATGTTTCAGTTCCTTAAGGAAACGGTAAGCAACACACTGTCATAGAACATCTTTGAACAGTAAGCCCCATGACCTTTATTTGGATAGGGTTTTTTTAAGTCACAGAAGAAAGACTAATACCAGAAAAATAAAAGCTGAATTGTTGAGGTACCAAAGCCAGATAAGATATTCTTCAAAACCAGAAAGGGCCTGAAAAAGCTGAGATTCTCCTTGCTCAAGTGAAAAAATAAATAATTTTAGTTACTGAAACTATGGAGATTGAGAAGCATTCACTTTAGCAGACACTACCTAATGAGCAGAGAGAAGCAGGAATTTAAAACTGGACAGCTAAGCTCCTTCTCACTGATCACCACAAGGAGAAATACTTGTGCCTCCAGCAGGCCGAACATTGAGGGCCTTCTGCTACTGCAAGTGGCCAATGGAGAGAACAGAGTAAGGCTTGTCTTTTGAGCAGGTTACCTATCCAGCTTCACTGCCTGCTGAGACTCTGCACGGGGTTGTGACAGCACCAGTTATTACAGAAACATAACAACTTGCACCTCTATAAGATGAAATAAATGACACAGTACTTTTCCAGGGCTCAAAGTGTTCTGGACCATTTACATTGGCCGCCTTGCACATATGACAAAGCCTTACTCTGAGACACTAAATGAATCAGTAGTATTAGCCAACACTTGTATGAACTTTTAAAGAGGAACCTCAGAAAACTGTGACCAGAACAGTTGCTTGTCTTGAAAAGCAGACAGTTGGAATACATGTTCAGGCTCTTAATTTGGCCCTCAAACTCTAAATGCTACAGAAAGGGCTATGTGAACACATTTGCCTTTATAAGTTTATAAACTTTGTTTCATAATCTGTTTCACTTCCTCAAGAAGGGAAGAAGGACAGGGCCAAAATAGGAAAGCAATGGATGTATTTGCTTGTAACAAGTGAGCATAAGGGAATTAGAAGAAATTCCTCCTTACCTGAAACAGTAGCGCTCCAGAAAAATCCCTAAAGTTAGGTCATTTTTCCCATAGAACTCCATGGTCACAATCCTAAAGCAGAGAAAGAAAAGCTTTAGAGACTGGATGTCATCACCAGTAGCTGTGCAGTGGCCTTTAGGAGCACAGATCTACACCTACTGCTGGCTTGTTTACAGCCCTGTATAACTTCAAAGATTTTTTTTTTCCACCTGACTACCCTTCCTAGATCCCTGCTGTCAGGTTTGCTAATAATGAGATCAAAGTCCTACTAGAACAACTTTAAACTTGACATTTAAAAGTCCAATACAACTCAACTGCACTTCTGAAGATTATTTCCAAAATATCTAGGCACAGAAGTCTAAACATCCTTAAGCTTCAAGCACTAATGTTTAAACAGCTACAAAAAAGGGTACATCCAGAACATGAAAAAAGTCTCAAGAAATCCTTATTCTTCTAGCATATTTAATAGCAACTTTACTTTCTCCAGAACCTGAGGTGATCAAGCCATTTAAATTGTGTATCAGTTTAAATGTCATAATTCAGATATCCCCAACTTCACTAATTTACATCCTCTCATTGTTGCTGCTTAGTGAGCATATCACCATCATCTTTGGTTCATTTCTAAGCTTTTACAGGAACTTTAGACCTTTCCCTGTAAGAGGGCCATCTCTTTATTTTCACCTAAGTTAAACAATTAAAATCACCTAGGCTAATGATTAAACACCAAGATCTGTCCTGTTTAGTAGAGATAAAAGTGTGTCATAAGTTGCACACAATTAGCAAATTACAGCTCCCTAAGCTGGAAATAAAGCTCTTAATACTGACGACTATAGTACGATAAAGATAGCAATATATTCCAATGCCACTGTTGGATAGTACAATCTATAAGTATTCCCAGATTCTCACAAGGTTCCCTTTTGGGCTTAGACATTGCCCTGTGTCCATTTACACTAACTCTTCTCCACAAGACTGCATGCAGTGCTCCCCACACAGAACATTACTCTGCAGTGAAACACCAACTCAAGCATTTAAGTTTCAGGCTGGCCTTTCTCATTCATGCCTTGGGTATTACAGAGGTCGTGCAATACTGCTGGAGATTCACCTGACCACGCAAGACAAAAGTCTTTTGGCAAAAGTTCCTGTTACAGGATGAGCACAACCTACCAAGGAAAGCACAACCTCCTCAAAGAAATACTGCCATGAGGCAGGCACTGACTCTGACTTTAGGAAGGAAAGAATAGCAACTATCCAAGCTGTAGAGGAGTAGTTTTTATACCAGGGGCTAACACAGGCACTTGGAGCATTGCTGGACTGAGTAGAAGAGCTGCTGAAGAGAACACAGAGCCTCTGATGGTTTACTGGACTCAGGCAATCCACCTAGTAGAGAGAAAACAACTCATTCAGTGGTTACAGACACCTCCATTCACACACAACTTCTGCTGACAAAATTCTATTTGAGTAATTTTATTCAAAGACAAGTATCTGCTTTCTCCTTTTGAACAGATGAACTTGGCATTATCTCCCAGCCTCAGGTAAACCTGTACTATGTATAATTGCTAAGTGCCATTTTTAGAACAACATCACTTGTAAGGAAACCAATGAACATGCACATATTTCTGTGGAAATGACGCCAAGAGAAACAAAAAACAACAAAGGCCCCATGACAAACATCCAGAGTCTCTAAATTACTGTATGATGTAGGATATCTTGGATTCAAAACTCTGCCAATATATTATACTTCAGTTACTCATTCAGGCTATAGAAAGATTTCCATCTTTCTATTCTCTGGGAAGAGATGTACCACACTGCTCTTGGAACAGAGCTGTTTTCCCTTCCACACCCTACAAAACTATGATGTTACCAAATACTTGTCTTTGATCACTGAGTAAATTTAAAACAGCATCAGCCAGTCTGATCCAGAGCAAGGGCTACTCTTACAGTTTGTAAGATTATGGCTTGTAAAGCTACAGAGATCTACATTTAAGTGCCAATTAAAAAGTGACTTCTGCTCATGAACACAAGGGCTGATTGGCTCAGGAACCAAAATGTTGACTGTTTCAACAGATCAATTCTGCTAATCTTGTTCACAGACATTCTTCCTAAACAGCTCACAATTCAAGGAAGTCTCAAGATCTCCTTTGCCTCAGATCCAAGTTGGTTACTTTCATGGCAGTTTACCAAAACTTTAATATTTTTATTACAAACACATACTCCCTTGCTTTGAAATCTCAAGTAAGATTCCTTTCCATTATGTGATTCTCACTTTTCTTCAGACCACCCAAACTTTCACAATCAATCAAGTACTTCAATGTAATTACAGCCTACTGCTGTTTCCATGACATAAAGCCCTCTGAAAATGAAAGTACATTTCAACAAATAACCAAATACAAGGAGTAAGGAAGCTCCTTGTTTAAGAAACTTTTTAAGGTTTGCTCCCTCTTCATGGACTCATTTTCAGAAACCAGTTAGGTACAGCCCAGTCAAACAGGCAAAACTGATTCTGGGCTGACTTTGTGCATTTCTCAGAGACATTTTGCAGTCTCTTGTTCTGAATGATTGCAGAGTACCACAATCTAAAATGGAGTTATGGCCCAGTCAAAAAAACAAACCCAAAAAAAACATAATGAAACAGAAAGAAACAGACAAAAAACAACCCCTGTGATTTAATATGAGATCCTACAGCTTCTCTATACATGAGAAACTGATGCCACTTAAGTTTTGAGCAGCACAACTCAATCTTACCTTATGAGACCATGAGGATTCACTCTGAGCCAGTCCCTTCTCCTCCTCTTCAGTTCTGCTCCCAGTTTTTCCAGTAGGGACACTAGATACATCCTTATTTTGGGCAAAAGGATCTGTGCTTTTCTGTAGTATCCTCCCTCCTCTGGCCCGATAGTCAGCCAGCATTCTGGCTAAGCTCTGGCTATCACGTAGATGCTCTGCTATTCTAGTATTGACCAACTCATGAGAAGGTAAGATTTGGATAGCCTTGGCTTGGACACTCCCATTCCTCCCTTGTAGTCCAGAGAAATCCCGCAACAATTGCTTCTTCCTTCTGCTCTCCAACTCCTTGTATTCCTTATTGAGGAGAGGAGACCAATAAACTTGTTCAGGAAAGTATTCCCGGGCAGGGCATCTCATGCCTTTTTCAGTCAAAAGGAATGGTTCACGGAACATCAGCACTGGGGAAATGCAGAGAATGACATCTTTCAGCTCCTGCTTAAATGCTGCAGAGTAAGTTTTGAGACGATCCTCAGACGAAGTTACCTCTTCCGTGACATATAAACCAGTATCATCCTGGAGAGGGTCTCTGAAGACTCTCATCTGACTCTTGGATTCCTGTAAATCATCTGCCTGTGGAAGAGGCTCTAGTGCCTGGTTATCCAGAGTGGCCAAGTGCTGGTCCATGCCATGGAGGGGCAGTGGGGATGTTTCAGGTATTGCATGAGGTACAGAGCTGAGCACTGCAAATGGTGACTCCAGTTTGTGGTGCTCTTGCTGCTTGGAGGACACCGTTTCCAGCTGGCTGTTCTCTTGGTCACCTCTGTCAAATACACCCCTTGGTTCAGGCAAACTGACCTCATCAGCGGACACTGATTCAGAGATTACAGGCAGCTTTTCAGAGGCTAGTTCTATGTCTTTGACTGCTGTGCTGAAGTCCTCACCATTGAAGAGGTTCTGTTGTTCATTTTCATCTCCTGGCTCCTCAATAAGGGAGTGAAAGGAAGTGTTTTTGGTGAGAGTAGGGGGCATGGCAAACTCATCCATAAGAAATGAAATTTCCAGCTGGGAATGATAAGCCACACAGACCATGAAGATCAGGATCTCCTTCACACGAGCCAGCTCGTACTCTGCAGCACCACACAACTTGATAGTGCAACCCAGGTGCTGGGGACACCCTTCAAAGAACATCAGGGGTTTTGTCTGATCTAGAAATAAAACACAGGAGTTAGGATGACAACTACAGTTAATCTGCTTTTAGATAGCTCACACACCCAAGAGACTGTAAAGGAGACTAAGAGCAAGTAATATTGGTAGCTGCAAAAATTCATATTACTGTACTGAAATAACTTATTTATTAAGAAACAAAAAAAGCAAAAAAGCATTGGCTAGAAATCTTCTCCTGTTTTATAAAACAAGCCATCATAAAGTCAAAGTCAAGGCCATGTGGAACATCCTGACCTAAACAGAGTATTCTAAGACCATTGTAGACTCTGCACCAGTGGGCAAAAGAATCACTTCCCTTCCAGGCACATTTACTCATCCTTACAAGTCAAAAGCCCATGACATTCTGTGGGCCATTAAAGGCTGGAAGGGGCAATGAGGAAGTGGAAAGGAAATTGTTCAAGGACAGATTTGATTGAACTTGGAGCAACTTGGTCTAGTGGAAGGTCTAGTTCCTGCCATGGCAGAGGAGCTAGAACTAAGTGATTTTTAAGGCCTCTTCCAAATGAAACCTTTCTACGATTCTATGAAGATATGCAAAGACTGCATCTCCACAAAGATCTGCATCCACAGCATTATGTGTGCCAGTACCACTGGTAACCTGTCAAGCAGCATTTCTTCCTTCCTTTGTAGACTCCCACTGCCTAGGGGAGTTACAGAGAAAAAGGAACCTTTCTTAAAGGTGCACAAGGACTGGACATGGGGAAGTGTGCACAACTTGCAGCAAGGCAAATTTTGATTGGATTTGTTAAGGTAGAACCAGATAATCTTTTGAAGTCCCTTCCAACAAAGGCTGTTCTATGATTCTCTAACTTCAATGCAGAAAAGTTCTTTACTTTTCTAGGTAAGGATGGTGCCCAGACAGATGACCGAAATCTCCACTCTGTAATCTTTTCAAGAGTTGGCTGACAAAAGAAATCTGATGCTGCATTGAAATTAATCCTTCCTGTTTTTAACTGGACTAGACAAACTACAGCATGTGGGAAGAGAAAAAGCAGCTTGGAAGAAAGAAATCAGTCTAATTAAAAACTATAGAGTGTTTTTTCTTGGTAAGATCATACTTTACACAGGCAGTTCACTGTAGTTACAAGAAGTAAAAGAAATAAAATGATACATGTAGTACTCATACATGAGCAGAATGATACATGATCACAACAGTTCAAATCTATTTAAAAAGGAGCAAAGCATTCATCCTTTCACACACATAGGCTAAGGCACATCAAGTTTTACTCACCATTGGGCAACTGAAAAACTTGCATATAAAATTTATGACAGGTCCCCAGCTGTGGTTTGGTCAGCAGTTGATCCATTGACATCACTAAGTCCCCCTGAGTCATCCGGCTTACCCGGTCTAACACTTGCTGTAAAATTGGAAAGAGCAGTAAGAATCTGCAATGCAAAGAGGACACTGGCATCCTTATCTTGCTCTTAACAAATCTAAACCAGTGCAATCCGTAAAACTTCTCACTGAGATGCAAATTCTGAGTTAAACCCAGTCCCACAAACCCATATCCCAATATACAAAAACCTTAGAAACACAGTTGGGTAAATAATTCTGGTGAGATTGTACCCTGCCTGGAACTTCTCACTTGACTAGATCCAGATACCTCCAGGAGGTACAGTGCAGTCAGCATAATGCTGGCTCTGCCAGGAGCTCAGCCAAGCTCCACAGCTACTCTCTGTTTGGCTGTCTGTACCCTGCCTCACAGGGACAGAGGCTCTCTGGCAATAGCTGAGGACCCACACATGATTTGCTATAAATGGTTATCAAAGTCCAAACTCTCCAGATTCCCCTGTCTTACCTTTCTAGAAAAGAACATTTGGTTAGAGAAGAAAATAAGACAAGTCTTGGCTTTCTGCAGGGAGTTTGTTACAAGGAATCATTAGAAATCTACCACAAGGCCAAGTCTAACTCTGATCAGAAATGCTCACCGGCTTGACATTGATGACCAGAGTGATTCCATGCTCTAAGAGCATGTCCTGGGCAATTCTGGACACAGTCTTCTCAACAAGGACCAAATTGGGCTGGACATCAACTATCCGCTGTACGTAGTTCTTCAAGAACTCCCTTTCCTGCAGACAGGAACAAAGTATAGCACTGAACCACTGCAAAGCCATCTGGAAAATAAACCCACTTTAACGCTTACTATCATTTCTCACTTTGTTTACATACTGTCCTTTCCTATGAAACAGGGAAAAAGAGCTATCCAGAAAACACCATCAGTAGTCCATTGTGAACATTCTCCTACTCCTACAGCACGACACTAGTTTATCAGTAGTATTTTATAAGCATGTCATAAAGAAAAGGTGTGTGTACTTCAGTGTTTTCATCTTTAAGGCACATTCCTACTCAGAGGGGCAGGGCACCTGTTCTAAAGAGACATTTTCTAGTTCATCAGGTTGGTGGCTGTTCCATTTTTTCAAGCCTGACAAAAAATAACATGGGTGTGACCTAACCCTAACCTACATTAACTTTTCAAGTATTTTTTCACACACCTAAACCTTATCTAGCTCTAATACTGTATAAGGAACTTACAGTTCAGAAGGTCTCAATAAAAAGAAAAGTTTTCTAAAATGCTGCCTTGTGAGAATCAAAAGCTCACGTGTTCTCAGGACATGTAACTTGAGGACAAAAACCCTCACTGCAAGGCTACAAATTTGTACTATATTTACTGCAGCAGCTCTCTTAGCAAGCTTACTAGAAGAGGAAAGTTCTTTCTTTTCTATGCAATCTCACTCATTGAACTTCACCTTACACACTGAAAAAATTTGCACTGGTCATGGTTTTGTTGGGGTTATTTTAACCAAGAACAAAAGCATACACTCACCTGAAGTACTATAGGCTCTATGCAGGTAAACTTTGTTTCTTCTCTATAGAGGTACTCAATTGAGCACTTTAGCAGAAGAATTCTGGGATTTTTTAAGCAAGAGTTCATCTAAAAAAGACACAAAAATAGTTAAAACACAAATATAAATACCCAGAGAGGAAGAAGTACACATGAAAAAGAGACAGACTTCCAGTGACTGGTCCCTGCTACCCCCACCTCCCGTTAAAGTGTCTCTGCTATCCCCCCCTGCAGACACAATTACACATTCTTCCTTCTTCTGAAGTTGTTACACCCAGTTGTTGGAATTTCATAGGAACTGTCCATAAGCAGGCAATGCTAGAGAGGATTTCCAGTCCCTGCTAAGAGCCCCAAAGTCTTGATACACTTGATTCATGCAGTTCACTTCTATCTTGCCTTCCTGCCTTAAAGACCCATTTTACTATACTATTATAAGTCACAACCACAAATGCCTTTTTCTCCCTAAAAGTTGGGATAGTTATTAGATGCCTCATGCTGTAGTAGGGATGGAAAGATTTTTCTATACATGCATGAGGAGAGTTTCTCCCCTAAAATCTCTGAGCTAGAAAACAAAACAGCTTGGAAAATAAATGCTTTAAAAGCCAGTCTTTTTGGGGGCTCAAAGCAGAGAAAGCTCACAAACCTCCAAGGTGGTAAGTGAGCACAAAAAGCAAGCCAGAGCACCCTTGTTTCCACAGCATGCATTACAGTAAGATTAATCAAGCTGCATTACCTTTTTGTGTGCCACATTTTTAGTGCAAACAAATCCATTCACCACCATGGAGTCAAATTTCTTTCCACCAGGGATCTAACAAAGCAAAGAACATTTTTAGAACTGTCATACACTCCCACATCTTGTAGTGCAGTAAAGCTAATACACAGAATACCTCTTGTAGGTGATGTACAAACTTCAGCTACACCCTCAATCACCAGATGAAAGATCAGATACAGTCATGATGGACACATAAGTCTTCCCCTTTAAAACCTGACAAACTTAGGACAACATGAAAACTAGTACTGGGTTCTAGGATTTCTACACCCCTCCCAAGAGATGCTTATTTGTTAAACCAGTTTACTTCAGCACATGACAAGGGAACCTAATTTGGATAGGCCATGAGAAGCACACAGCTTTGCACATGCCACTTCTATTAGCAACAAAAAAAAATGTAAGCAAAGGGAGGAAAAAATATAAAATAAAGAAAGAAAAACAAAAACCCTCTACCTACCAATTGAACACATCAAACAGTTGATTGACTGGTGTGCCTGCAGTAACAGGCAATCTCAGGCATAATAAGCAGCATGAAACAGTTTTCTGAATAATATGTTTCAGAGGACATTCATATTACCAGCATGTGAAAATAGCAGACAGCTATGAAGAGCTTTCAGCTCTGAACAACTGCTCTTTGAACTGGAGTTTCAGGAGCAGCAGGAACAAGCAGTGCTGCCTGAAGAGATGCCACAGAATTACCACCAGAATCATAAGGCTCTCCTCAAATCTCATATGGCTTTCAAACAAGAGTACTGCTGAAGTGAATTTGGCCAAAGAAAACTAAGCCCAAATCTTCAGTCCTCAGTCACACAACTCCTTGGATGCTATTTTCACATCAGACTCTCAGAAGGAAGTTTGCATGCCAGAACTCCAGACTTACAGTTCAACAGTGTCAACACTGGGCCATCTGGCAGAACTGGATATACCATTCCATAACAATCAAGTTTTGCTCTTGAAGAAAGTCATTGTACTTGGCATGGGAGGAGTTGAATACTCCATAATGGATACGTAAAGGGAACAGATTGCTGCACCATGTCCTGCAAGCTACTTATCCAGCATTTGGTATATCTCCAATTCAAGAGCAAAACAAGCAGAAACCAAAAAATGAACCAAGTAACTACAGAGGTGGTGTTACTCTTTGCTACCTTCTGCAGCCCACAACCTGAAAGAAGAGGTCAGCCCCAGCGCATTAAAGCACTTTGCACAGCATGCCAAGTTCCCTCTGTGCAACTTTTTCCAAATCCCACCTCATCCAAAGGCCAGGCGATCCAATTACAGTACTGAATATGCTGGGGGCAGTGGAAAGGGGACTATTCAAACAAGGTGTACTGCCAACAGCTGCACCCTTTTGTTTCCCTACATCCACTGCTTGAAACTTACTTTTTTGATGTGGACAAACTGGCGGATATCCATGTCATCATCTCTCTTCTTGACATCCGGCCGTACCGTTTGAACTACCTGGCAGACCACGGGAACAATAATGTCCCTCCAGGACAGTGACAGGGACTCGTTGTAGAGAAGCTGCTGAAGCAGTGCCATCATGTGGTTGTGATTAGCAGACCTATAAAAAAGGCAAAATAAATAGATTTCTCATTAAAAAAATATAAAAATACAGTGCAAGGATTAGCTGAAGTAAATATTTTAACATTTACAATGTAGAAGTTCTCTGAAGAAACAGTTGCCTAGAATGTTCTACAGTCAGCTTTAGTCCTGTATTCTATATATAAACAACACAAGATTAAAAAAAACAACCAAAATACATGTAAAAATGCTGTGTCCTTAATGCAAATTATTTCCTTGTATTGCCTACTGTAGCTCAAGTCCCACTTAAAGTTGGTGGAATAGAGGGGCTTCAGAAATTGTTACTCAAGATATGCAAATTCCTTTTTCTACATGTTTCTTACAGCAGCCTTTCCATGGCTTGTTTCTCCCCATTCTCTTCTCTCAGCAGATCCAGATTGCTGTGGTGCCAGCCTAGGGGTGTGAATAAGAGCTCTTTGGACTTCTCCTCCACCCTCCTGTTGAATAACGACTCTGCAAGAGACAAACAAACGTTGTTAATGTAAGGTCACAGATGAATGCTGGTGTCTTTCTGAAAGGCTGCTTCAAAAAGGAAAGAATTTACTAAGACATAAGTCCTAGTAAGCACTGAGTAAGTACTGAGTTTAAGGTAGATGTCAAGGTCCTCAGTATGAGAGGAGACTGACACTTTCAATTACTATATTGTGTCGTAACACCTTAGAACTGTTCTCTGTTTTGCAGTACCAAAATTAGAGGTTACTTCAGCACAGTCCGTGCTTTGAAAGAGTTACTGGGTTATTTCCTGCACAGTTATTATGATATTATAGAGGCAAATAATAAACTTCCACATTGGCTGACGATATTATAAGTCATTCATTTATACTAGTAGTGTATAAATGTTCTTCAAGCAAGTATGTAAGCCTTCAGAGATAAAGCTTAAAACTCCTCAGTGTTAAGCAAAATCTAGACAATAGCAATCCAAGGAGGACTACTGAAGAAAAAGACTCCTAAAAAATAACAATTAACTTCTTCCAGATGCTTCACGTACAAAATTAGCTATGTAGAAGATTAATAGAACCTACATTGATTTCCTCCTTCCTTCTGCAAAAGCTCAGTTAAAAACTAAACACCAGTTTAATCCAAGACTTTATTTTTCAGGCTAGACAAACACTGGGGTTTCTCCCTTATTTCCTCCTCTTCTGAGGGCACCAAAATCAATAGCATTAACTGGGAAGAATAAAAAAGCCCATAAGTGCATCTGGCCATGATACCGGAAAGCACGTGGGTTTAAAAACTCATAAGTGCATGCAATGGCCTTTCATTTCAGAGGCAGTGACTATGGTTGTGATGACAAGAAACCCAGAAAGATTTAAGAGAAGAAGCTTTAAGCTACTCTGTAGAAGAAGTGCAATTAATTGTATCACATCTTCATTTGCTTGCACAGGAAGTTAAAAATTGGTTACATAAATTTGTTGGTGTAGAAACCGTGAACAAACTTCTCACTTACAGTCATTTTTTAAAAAAGTGAAAGCTTTTCATTGAGTCTTTTTGAATGCAGGAATCTGAGAAGTGAAAGAAATTTAAGCTTGAAAGTGCATTCAAAAAAGTCAAAGTATAGTTTATACATCAGTTTTGCCACAAATAAGTTCAGATTTACTGTCAAGTAAATATTTTGAAAGGGTCAGTGCTTTATTAGAGGAGTATTAAGGAATTTCCATCATTATATTAAAAAACACATAACAGCAGCAATTGAAGTTTTTCCTTACCTTTAATGAAAGCGTCACTTATAGAGAACATCTGCTGCCCTCCGTTTTCAGGATTCAAGTACTCTGAAAGAAGGAGAGAAGAGGGATATAGGTGGAGACAAAAGAAAAAAAAGGACAGGTTACACTGGTGTGTGTGGCCATATAATTATAATGTACACACCCACACCAGAAGAAGCAGCATTACTCATCCAAGTGTTTAGTCACCAATTTAGCAACAGCTTGCTGAGTGGTTAAGACAAGAATATCATCTCATTCTTGTTCTATCAAAAATTCTACAATGACAAGAAAACAGTGCTTACTAACGTGAAGAAACAAAACAAACAAAGTAGACACGAGCCAAGACTGAACTAAGAGTGCATTTTCCACCTGACACAGACCACCCTTTTCTAGACCTGAACACAAATATGTTAAGATGTGATCAAACACCATGGGAATGGCCTCCTCACTCAGGTCTAAAAATGCAGCTTCAGAAACCATTTTGGGCACTCACTCCATTGAACCATCTCAGACTGAGGGAGAGACCAGCCATAAGGTTTATCATATACAGTGCAAAAACAAGACAGCCTGTCTTTCAAGAGCTGAAAGTCTCAAGTCCAGAACAGGTCAAAGTGTTTTGAGGAATCCATGCTGACAGAGATGGACTCCCAGAAACAAAGCAGAGCAAGAGACAGATCACTTTACACATTGGAAATATAGTTAGAGCCTGCTGCTAATAATGCCATGGTTGTGGGTTCAATCCCTGTATGCACCATTCACCTAAAAAGGTGGATTTGATGGGTCCCTTCCAATTCAGAACATTCTGTGATACCTGTGAAACAGGATGAAGCTCCACCTACTACCCTCATTTAGCTTGTAAGATCTTAATCTTTCATGCTGGGTACAAAAAGCTTGGTTTTTTTCCAGAAGCCATTACTTCTTGTGCCTTTAGTTGGCTCCTCACTTATACAAAAAGGGACTCTACAATAAGAAAACAAGAGCAGTAACCCAACTGTTTATACAGCACAACTACCTGAAGCCCAAAGGCAAGCCTTTATCATCTTTCCTGACAATGCTCCAGACCCATCACAAGCAGAACACAAAGCCAGGCTGCTTCAGACACCAACAGAAAGCAACAGAAAGCTGACAGAACATAAACAATCACAAGGCTCTGAGCAGCAGTACTCAGGAGACCCCTTTCATGCCACCATTTTAAATATCTGAGCTTATTTGCAAATACTCAATAGAGGATAAGTGAACCAAAGAGAAGTTACAAGCCTCCTTTGTAGATTCCTGGTTATTTGAGATCCCTTTCATCTCTTGCTTGGTTTAAGAGTTCAGCATTACAATAAACTACTGCTTTATAAAAGCTGGCCCACCCCCAGCATTCATTCACTCACTGACTATCTAGAGAAAGCCTCATCATGCTCTACCTACACAAGAGCATGTATACTAGCACCTCCATCCCTCTCCCTCTTGCAACAGCCTCAGGGCATCAGTTCTTACTGTAAACACCCTTAAATTAGGTCTGGCAAGCCAAAGCACAAGTTATCCCCAGCTGAAACCTAACCTTAGTTATGCTGTGGACAGACACAGGTAGCACCTCCAAGTCACTTCTAGATTTGTAATGATCTAGGTTCTTTCATCTAGGTGATTTTTAAGGTCCCTTACAACCCAAACCACTCTATTATTCTTTTCTATATAACTTCAGCTCCCATAACTTCACTTCTGATTGGTTCCCAGGGGAAGTTGCTGACAAGGTAAGATACCATACCCCTTCTTAGCTCAGACAGATAACGTAAGTGTGAGTCTGAGATGGTTTAGGGTGGCTAACACGCACATTTCTTACCTCACATCATCCCTACATGCATCATGCTCCACAAAATGAGGAAGGAGGATGGGGAAATGTTCCTGTAGCTTATTTTATAACCTGAAAACCCAAGCACCTTCTCAAAAGAAGAACCAAAAGGACTCCTAGCAACACCACACTGAGTCCTGGCAAGCAACACTTAAAAGGAATTGCATATGATTACTCAAATCATCTTCTCTTTCCCCCTCCTAACTACTTTCAAGCATCGAAATTACCCAAAATACCTGGTACCATGATCACAAATATCTGTCTGGAAAGGTGTTTATAAAATATAATTTCGCACACTGTTAACTGCATCTCTTCAAAAACAGCAACTAAACCCCATATATAAAATTTATCATGTAATCTCCTCTCCCAATTTAAATGCAGAAAATAATCTTACTTTGTTTCCCCTTCTGATACATACTATGTCTTTAGGCAGATGATATAGTGACTATAAATGAGTCACTATTCTCAGCTAATTTGGAGTCACCCAAATTTCATGGAACACCAGACATTAGTCAGCCTGTAACACCACAAGAAGTTCTGCCATTAGAGTATATACAAACCACTCTGTGCTCAGTCACAGCTGGTGGATACATCACGGCCCTTGCTTCAAAGCAGCTGACCTCTGTGACTCTGGGAAATTGCATATTCCTTAATCATTTGAGAAACCCACAAAGTGCTTAGATCAAAGCTGACCTGAACTTCCAGCACTTGATGTTTTCTATTGACAGTCCTCTCCACAATGCAATTACTGGAATTTACACGGTCCTAAGGAAACTAAATTACAGCTTCAAAAGGAAGGTGGGAGGGATCTTCAGTTTCACTTCATTATTTCAAAGGAAGTCAAGTCACTGTCACCCAGTCTAAGGACAAGAGAAAACTCCAACACAATCAAGCTAAATAAGTGTGTCCATAACAGTCACAAGGAAGTTACTGATGCTGACAGTGGCAAACACCTCATGTCACTGATTAACTACAGAACTCTGGCCTTAAAATAACCACCTATTTTACACAAATGCTTAACCATCCAGTTTTGTCTGTCTAACCACTGTGATATTCTAGCATCTTAGATGGCATCTTTTCTTGAATATAGCCAGGACAATCAGAAAAACAAGGTGAAAATCTTCATATTAACTTTATTATATAAAGCCTCTGACTTTAATATTTACAGAGCCAAGTTTTAGAAGTCATGTATTTCACTACCCTAAGCACTACAGCATTCATGGTAGAATTTTGTCCCTCCTCGCTACCCACAAAGTTTCAGTCTGTCTATTGCCAAGAAGTGTTTCTTGCTATTCAAGATATTGTCACTCATTTTAATTTGCTGCTCCCTGGTTAGGTCTTTTCTCTAGAGATTCCCATGCCAGGAATTATAAAATTCACAAACAAAATAAAAAAGGTTCACTAACTTCTCTGTATTTGCAGATACAGATTTTTCAAAAAGCTGCAGGATATCTACCTATCCACAGTGCATTTCCATGATAATTCCACCCTATCCCAGCTCTGGGCCTATTACTGGTACTATCACCTCAAGGGAAATCCATTCTCTTGGAAGAAATTGCTACCAGTTTTCTACTGCCAATTACACTCCTACAGAATAACCTGGTTAAGAGACCACAAGTTTCAGGAACATATACCAAACACCAGCAGAGATTCACCAAGGACATCAGAGTGCTGCCAGCATACACAATTCAAAGGCAGAAGTCTTTATCTTTTCAGTCCCCTCTCCACTTGCCTTTTCCACTGATCTTCTCTGAGCTCTCCACTATTAAAAGCTTTCTCACAAGAACTCACAAGAGTTCTGCTCTGAGCAGCCTTGATTTGGTCAACAGTTTCCAAGAGCAAGAGGCTCTCTTACATTTCCCCTTCATTATGTACTGCTCCTTGTATAAAGAGATAAAGACTGAAATATGTCTGAAACCAGACAAACAGACCCTACAAGTCCTTGAACATTTGGCAGAGCCAAACTTACTATTGCCTACTTTACTGTCATCACACACTGGAAAAAAAAACTGCTACAGCTGCAAATTCCTTGGATACAGCAGCACACCTTGGCCTGTTTCAAGCTCATTTAATCCAGCACCCCTCCTTCCAAAAAGGAATTCTTTGGTATATCTGCCTCTCAGCTTTCCTTCCCTGTAGATGCATTAGCTTTTCATCTGATTAGGGCATCAGCTGGAAACAAATTGAAAGGAACCAATAATGAGCTGGTGTCAGTAGTGCTGACAACCCACTTTTGGATCATCTGACATCAACCCAAACTTTTGAAACTGTTCTGCTTTTCTCTTTGGCAGAAAACAAGCAATTAGAATTCCTTCCTTCTAGACATATTTTTAGCAAATAACAAAGGTGACTACAGTAGGCATCAATAAATGTCCCCTCTAATTTGTCTCATTCTGCCTCACATGTCTAGCACACTTGGAAAGTCAGCTATGACTGCTTCTCCTCCCTCACTGTCTTCAGAGACCATTTCAGTTTCAGAATATGCCATCTGTATGCAAGCTCAAGGCTGCTGTTCCATTCTGATTCATAGCAACACGAGATCTGTTAGACTTTATAGAAGAATGAATTAATTAAGAGTGCAAATTATTTAACATTGGATCATCTTTTAAAGTCAGAAGCACTGAAAGGGTGGGGTGAAACAATAATTAAGAAACTACTTAGAAGCCACCAAAGAAACAAGTCTACAAAGCTGATGTAGCCTTATGTAAGGAAGCAGAGTAAAGACAGCCACTACTACCCAACATGTAAAGCAAATAAATATACTAGACCCAAGCCAGTGGCAAGCCTCAGTTTCAGACAGGCCTTGAATCATTTAGAGAATGCAGTTGTCAACATGCAGGCACATTATTTCTTCCATAAAGATGTTGCTTATAGAGTCTTTCAATTTAGTACTTCTTTAGGGGAAAATCCTTTCAAAAGCAGCCTCCAACACCAAGTATTTGATTTCTTCCTACTTAAGTGGATGATCTCTTTTGAAGAAATATTATGTATATGGATTAAGTTAGGCCTTCTTGTTTATCAGTAAGATTCTTCTGGAAAATGTAAGCTTATTAAGGTACAATTTTACGTCAGCACAGAACTCTTCCAAGTTAATCTTGTTCTTTTGTTCTCTGGGGTTTTATTTCTTGCTTGCTGTTTTAAGTTCCATCTCCAACTGTAGAGTCACGTATCAAACTGGTTTATGTGTGGATTATTTTTCCACCCCAGTTAGCCAGAACATAGGTGGATCTGTCTATTATGCATGGGCAAGAGACTTTGCTTCAATGGCAAAGAGAAAGTCACAGGGGAAGTTACACACTCTGCAGAGAAGGCATTTCAACAGGTCTATTGAGCCTCCTCAGAGGTGAGCACACCAAAACTGCAAGCAAGTGCCAGTTAAATATCATATTTTCCCCTCTGTAAGACAGCCACATAAGCAGTGTCCAAATAAGTCAGTAATATTAGGGCCAGCTCTCCATCATGTGCAACTCCAGCTGGTGACTACCTCGTACCTTTTTGGTCGGCAGGGTGAGGGGGCACATGTGGGTACTTGGAGTGCTTCTTGATATGGAAGTTGACGTTGTCCAGCTCCACGTTCAGGCTGATGGAGGCGGCCGAATCACTGTCCATTGTGGACTGGAAGCTGCTGACTGAAGTGCGCTTGCTAGGGCTGGCGGAGTCTTTTAGCGTTGGGTGAGGGGGAAGATACAGGGGAGGAGAAGGGTTCAAATGGGTATTATGAGGGTACCAGAGAGGAGAAAAATTGTCTTTAATACATAAAGACCAGTGTGCAATAATACAGGAATACAGTATTTTCATATCTCTAATCTTTTCTTCATGTGGGCATGCTGACATACTGGACATTCTTTAGTGCACTACTATAGGGCCTAAATCAAGCAGAAGTCTGCCTGGGAAACAGAAGGCAGCAATTTACATACTTTTCCTTCATTAAAAGTATGAAGCTTTACCAGTTTCACTAAATTCAAACTACCGTATCCATTGTGAGAAAGTGGAAGACTAGATAGGCTATAGCTCTCTTAGATCCTTACGGCCCCAAGCGCACACACAGAAACACACACAGATAAAGCAAGACATGGTTAAACTACCAAGTCCTGAAGGACTGGGGACAACAGGGGAGAAGGCACAGTGAGAACAAGACTCAGGTGAAACTTACTGGCTGAGTTGTCTTCCCCTTCATCAACAATTTGCTCGTTGTCACTGTCATCAAACTTGATGTCTTTGAACCAGGATGGCTCAGAGTGGCCCTCTACAGAGTTCACAGAGTCACTGTCTGGAGATGGGGTTTCTGAGAACTCTGTGCTCTAGAAGACAAGGAAGGGAAAAAATTATTAAAGTGCAACTCTGCTGAAATATTAAGCAGCCTGCCACAAATGAAGGTCAGGTATTTTAAAAAATCAGAGGACACTCTCAGTGGGCTGAGCCAAGTTAGTCATAGAGTTACCCCCTTTGGTGTGAAGTAGGAATTCTTTGGGACAAGAAACAAGTACTTCTTTACAATTCCCAGTCTCTGCCTACACTCTGCTTCTAAACAAATTGTGACTAAGTGGCACTAAAGGACAAGTTTATTATACTGCACATTTCCTGTCATCACATCCAGGTAAGCAGCTTTGAAAGCTTGCTGTCTCCAGCCAAGGCAGGTGACAGCCTTATCCTTCACCCAGAAACCAACATGCGCAGCTTTTGGTGGAGCCTAATTCTAAGTTACTGGAGCAATTCTTTAACTGACCAATATAGCCCCAAGAGTTTCAATCCAAGATGGACTCTAGCTGGGCCTACTGTGTCAAAGCAAGGACTGGCCAGATTGTCAGAGAACCTGGAGACTACCTACGTAATTTCCATCAGCCTTCCTCATGCCTCCAAGCACCTCAAAACAAAGTTATCATCATCATGCATTTGGCTGCAGTGAGTGCAGCAAGCAACTGAGTCAACAACACCATTTCTCCAGACTCTTGTCCAGAGGAACAGTGCTTCCAGCTGATGAGAACAAGAAATTACTTTAAACATATAACATAAGCACCTTACAAATAGAGATGCATAGGGACTTGCTAGTTAAGAGCAAGTTTTTACCAGGACACTGAGACAGCTGACTATTTGAGGTATCAGATGAACCCCAGAGCAATCTCAAGGGAAGTCATGTGACTGTGTCCATATGATTGAAATGCACGAGGCAGAGAAATGCTACTGGCTGCAATCTTTCTGTCTGAAGTCCATGGGATAGCTAAGCCACTCGTCATTGTAAGAAGCTGAAGAACATGAAAGGCTCTTCACTGAAACTGAATGTTTTCAGCTAAGAGAGGCTACAGAGCTATCTTGTTCAAGCTAAAAAACCCAATACAATCTCTCAGGCCAGTGACTGCCCTTACCCCTCATTAGATTTGATTCCAGTGAAGTACAGTAGGACAGAATCTCTGGTCACTAGTTCCTGCCTCCCCTCAGGTAACTAGTCCTGGTTGGGAGGCATGAAAAAGACCTCATCCCAAACTTGGATCATGTGGCTAAGGTACTGAATTCCCTATTACTCCATCACTGGAGATCAGAAGAAGGTTACCAATACAATGTATCTAAAATATCCATTTGGAATTTTTTTAAGGAATTTTGAAACAGAAGATCACCAATGTGTCTCCATCACCAGTAAGTGTACATAGATTCTAGATTCTGCACATGACAACATAGCTGCCACAGGCACAGACTGTGCCACCTTGAGGCCTCTGTGGAAGATGTCCACCACGAGAGGCCTGGCCTTTCCCTCACTTTAAGCAGCACCACATGTAACATCTCATTCTCCACAGAGGGCAGCCCCAAAGCTTTCTGGGCAAATGAAATTTCCTTAGGCTTCAACCCATTAAGGAAAAAGGCCTGCCCCCCTACTTTCTGTACAGGGGACCTGATTTAGAAAACATACTACAGCTGTTGAGAACAGGATTAGAAAATATTCTAGTCAACAGCCAAATCCCAGAAGAACAGTATCTTTCAGCTTTCCCACTCCTTTTACCTGCAACGGTCTGTAGAGAGCATATTCATCTCTGAAGAGCTGATCATGGTGACTGACACATTCCAGCCAACGTCCATCAACCAGTGCCTGTCCTATGGCAATGGCCTGGACCCTGGAAGTATAATAGAGATGGTTTTCTGTGTTTTGCTCCTAACACATATGGTTTATGGTACAAGCACACTACAAAAGGGAAGAGTCATTTTGCTATGCACTATTTGACCTGTTGGTATTCCATTCCCATGTTCAACAGACACTATTTACAGTATTGTGGTGAGGCAGCACAGTGTACTAATTCATGCATGGATCTAAATAAAGAGACTGTCAGTACTCTGAACTCAGCTGAGGTGTCCAACATATGATTAAGACATGTTGTTTGTGCTCCTCCAGTATTGTTGAGTTATGTATACTGATCTTCTCTGTGGGAGGACTGTTGCTCTACATTTAAGAACCATCTCCATTTTATCCCATTATCATATAATTAAATACACAAGATTGTTTATATTCACCTACATGGTTAAGAGTCTGCCAGCTCCACTGAAATTTTTGCTATCAAACACTATTAGTGGTCTCTGATCCCAGAGGCACACTTGCTCTTTGGAGCAGCAGTGAACACTTTTGGACAATTTCTGTAATACATGCACTGTTCTCCATGTGAGTGGTACTTGTCCCACAGCTACCTCGCATACTGGTTTCCAAACCAGACAGCCTCCCGTGCCCTGTTGTTTGGGGGCACATGGAGTCAGAATGGAACCTACTCTGGGGTAGGCAGTAAAGGGGAGATTTGAGTAAAGGGGGTTTTCTCTCTCATCTCCCTGCAAAAGGGCCCATCTCTGCAGTCTAAGGTACCTTACATCAGCTCAAACTCACAACCTCCTCCCATACAGACAGAGGACACCTGTTGTCCTAAAGCATCAGGGTTACCTCGTGGTTATGTGCCCATTTCTCATGAGCCAGTTGACCAGCTCTTTTCCCACAATGCAGTTGGGATGTGTCCGCAGCCAGTAGCGGTGGTCTTGAAATTCCATACCACTGTTATGATGGCAGATTTTCTTCCACAGATCTTTCAGCTGGACTGAGTCCTGGACAGGGAGATGTGCAAATTAATTACCAGCCTAATCTCAGCACTGGTTCCAAGGGCATCAACCCAGGCCTTCAGATCAGCTTCTAGATCAAAAGCCCTCCATAAACAGGCACAGAATCTAAGCCATTCAACATAACCTATGCAAAAGTGCAAACAGAAATAACAGACAGATATAAAACCAGCTCCTTATTTCCTTCCATTCATATCCAGTTGAGAACAATAAAAAAAACAAAGTGAGAGATACAGGGGTTTTGATGAGGCAACCTTTTGTATTGCCTGCAGAATACTTATGTCCTCACTACTGTCCCCTTGCACCCACTCTTAAATTCAGGAGGTATAAGCAAACACAGAGGACATCATCCTTGGCAAGACAGTTTTTCTATATTATCTGTGCTCAACCCAGGCATTGTGAACATATTAGTCCAATATCAAGATCAGATATAAAGCAAGTACTTAACACAGCAATGTTCACTGCTAAGATACTATCTCATATTGAGGATCCAGTTTTGTATTGTCCAGCATTTATGAAGCTTTTTTAGGCACTGCTAGCTTATGAAGCTTCTTTAGGCATTGTTAGCTTTGGCCACTAAGAAAAAAACATGTGTATTCCTCCCAACTCAAATAACTATTTTTGAATCTGTGACTCTCTTCCCCTCACCACATGGAACACATCAGTCTATACCTAGAACTTATTTTGGAGCCTGCTAAACATGTGCACCAACTCTTCTGTAGGCTGTGCTCCATCCAAACTGAGCTGTTTTCCTGTCCCTAGCCACTTTTGTCTTCCCATATATACCCTCAGTTAGCACAGCACAAGCCATTACTGCAGGTGGAAACTGGGATCTGGAACTATTTTGACCAAGCAGCACACCACCCTAAGGTGTGGAGAAGAGATACTGCAGCTCACTTTCCCAAATGCCTCATTTATTCTATTTTTGTGTAACAGAATTTTAATTACATTTTAACTGGTTTCAGCTCTCCAATTAACTGTCACATTATTGCATTTTCCAAAGGGTGCCCTGAGGCTCAGGAGTTATGCTCCATTTTATTGCTGGACTGGCTTTCTGCTTTCAGTTCCAGCAGTGGCTGTTCTGGGTATTCCCCTAAAACCAATGCCAGCAGCTCCCCTTCCATACCACCTATGGAGTCAAATGGATCAGTACCAGAACACAACAGGATCACACAATTTGATGCAACTGGAGTCTCCACAGTTCAGCTGTCTTGAACTGGTGAATACAGTAAACTGAAGAAATTTGCAGAACAAAGAAAATCCTTCCAACTCAAGGATTTTGACCTCTAGTTCACTGAAGTGTGTGCTTATCCCAGTGTACATACAACCTTCTCTACCTTTATTTCATGAACAAAGTTCATTAGTCTTCTGAATGGACTAGGTTAGGCTTTAAATCAACTCCTGACAGAGGGTCAACTCCACACAGTAAGGGTATTAAACAAACAGTAGAAATGCATAGAAAATCCTTCATTAATTGACACTGTCTTCTGCTCTTACATGAATAAAATAGTACCAGCCCTCTTCTTCCTCAAGAAAGAAAATAGACCAAAAAAAAATCAAACAACTTGAAGACAAAGAGCCCCGAGACTTGAACATCTTGCTTCAAGTTGCATTCACAGAGGTCTGAATTTCCTTCTTCCTGCATTAACATACATCTGTGAAGCTGAGTGGTATAAAAACATGCCTTAAATATGTTTCTCCCTCAGGTGGTTATCCATTTACTCAGGAACTAGGAAAAGAGTTTTGCAACTAAACAGGAGTTAGTGTTTCTACACCCTCAGGCACACTTGAATGCATACTGCTGACAGCAGGCAGAACCTGGTAACACAGAATGAGCCTGATTTTAAAGTAGCAATGGGGCACAATCTTGAATCTTTCAATGTGTGAAAAACACTGCCTTCCCTTCTCTGCAACTTCTTTGCCTTATCTGTTGGAAACACTTCCCTTTATTTCCCTCAAAGAAACAAAACAGTTTTTTACTGTTTAGAAATTTATACAGTAACTGCAACCTACAACATTGCCTCTGGGGGGAAGGGATAATAGGACTACACAGAACACGGTTGCACATTGAGTTTTCTTTTAAAAAGTACATCATTACGACCTTCTATAAAATCTTTTACTTATTCTGTAAACAAAAAGGGGCCAAGTTATGTTTTGGCCCAGTAAGCTATAAGGGCTTCAATTTATTCATCATGGTGTAACTATTTCAAAGCAGCCATTTAAAGCTCCTGATTACGTGGCCTATGAAAGAGAAAATCTCAACTTGAAGAAATACAAAAAACAGGTCACTGCATTACAGCTGCAACCATGACAGATTTAACTCAAAGAGCCACCATACCAACTCCACACTTAGCAAGACTAAAGTTGTAAACATTTGAATGCAAAAACCCCATGAAACTATGATTTATTTCAGGAAGACAGTAATGTCCAAAGCAGCATCAATATTTTCCATCTTTGCTCCCCCTGGAGGAGAAGTCCAGGTAAGAGTGCTTAGAGAAGAGCCTTAAAAGGCAGCAAAATACTCCTGCTGCATGGCACAAGGAAGGCAAACTTCACTGTCCTCACAGAACAAGGCAAAGAGAAGCACGAAAGGTACCAGAAGGATTTTGCGCTCATCCTCGCTGGTCTCTGCCTTCATATGAGTGCGAGTGGCCTGGGGGCTGACCGAGGTCTCGTAGGCAGGCACCATGGGGGACCCTGAGCGGTCCAGAGACAGGTTAGTGATGCTGGCTGACCTGCAGGGGACAGAGAACAATTCCATTGTAAGTACTCATCGTGTGGTGCTTCACCACAGCAGGCCTTTATCTTGTAGCATACTAAAAAACAGTTCAATCCTAGGACACTGTTTACTCTTGTCAGTACAAACTGCTTAATGCTTCCTCCCTTGTCAAAGCAGAAGAAAGGCTCCCTAGGAAGCAAGTGAATTGCTTTGGAACTGCTAAGGTAAGCATAAACCTCTGTTAAGATCTTGTATGAAGCAGCTGGAACTAAGTTTAGGCACACCAATTCATACATGTCTGTATTTAAATTGACTGGGGAAGGGATGGCATGCTGGGTAATTAGAAGCTCTAGCACTTTGGAGACAAGACAAATGTCAGCAAAGGTGGCCAACACCCAGATCCCTGTAACAGAGCACTGAGATTTCATCCTCTCCTTGTCCCATTTAAAATTCCTTGTCCTCAGCTCTCAAATACATGGCTGAAAGCTTGCAGAGTCTGAAGTTTGAGCACTTGTTCCCCAGAGTGGCTAAACCATTTTCTGAAGCTGGAGTCACTGCAGTGGGCAATCCCCCTTGTACGGTGACATGGAGCACCCCCCTTATCTCAGCACAGCTGTTAGGAAATCTTGGCTGTGCACCCCAGCACAAACACACAGTTTTGCAATTATCATTGCGAAGTTACAAATGCAAACAAGTTCCAGATACCTTCTGTTTCATTAACCCACAACTAGACCTGAGACTCTGAATAACCAGAGTGCAACTTCTCATCATATAGCAGCAATTGCAATGTAACCTATCAGTGCTAAGAGCACTCTAAGGAGAATGGAAAACACTTCTGCATACATCAACAGGGAAACTCAAAATGCCAGTGCTGAACTGACTGAAGAGGCTTGCACCAATCTCATGAAAACAGTTGCCAGCCTCTAGCCTTTGGAAAAAAACTTTGGTAACTTTGGAGAACTTGCTAACTGGCTAACAGACATACTATAATTATTCCCAAAAATTCTCCATGGATGATGCGGCTCAGTCCAGGCATGAAAAAAGCAATGCCACCCTATTTCTGTTTTTTTTTTTCTTTCTGATTACTGCAGAGTAATGCACCTTATCAGAAAGCATCCTAATGCACAAGATGAGGCTGACATGGAAGTCCATAACTAAGCACTCCTGACAGTTGTTTTGCAACATCTGCCTTAACTGTGCAACATACCTGTAAGCAGCAGGGATTTTTTATTTGGGTGTGAGCAAGTTAGAACAGTGAGATTTCATATTTGTGTCTTTATCATCATGAATTATATTGGGGCCTTTATTATATACATGTTTTTTAAAAACAGAGAGGGAGATTTTGCCATGGAAATGCTTATCCTTTAGAAGGACCTGCAAGGGAGCAGTTTGAACCCTGCTTGCAACATTTGACTGTTCTGCTGGGGTTTTCCCCCCTTCATAAAAACCAAGACTGAGAACAAATAACACATTTCCCACCCATGGGGAAAACAAATAGCAATACATAACTTCTGTTACCTGTCTCTAAATGCACTCAGCCTGCATATTTTCTGCTTCATTTCCTCTAGAAAGAGGAATAGTCAAGTTTCTCTCAAAGAAATGGCTACAGCTGCTTTGAGAAGATCTAAAGGCTAACATCACTTAACCTAAAGCCAGCAGCTTGTTTTCCAAAGGTTCAGAATTTTTAACAGAGATACATTATACCTCATCATTACACATGTCCAAACAAACAAGTACTTTTCGTGACGCCATGAACAGCCAGAGTTAAAATTTCACTTGAATAAGCAATCTGGGCCTGTCAGATCAAGATTAGAACCATCCTACTACCACATATTTGAGCAAACAGCCAAAGCCTTTTAAAATAGAGGTATATTCAATCAGGAAGCAGGAGACCATCCTCAAGGTTTCAGACATTTCTTGACGTCACAGCAGTTATTTAACATTGGACTTTTAATTCTGGACTCCTTGCCATGTTTGCCCAATATTGATTTTTGGTACTCATTTATTCACCAGTATTTTACTCCCCCAGGTGAGATCTTTGGGTCTTAGATGTAGAGTCAGTGTGCATCTCCTCCTAACCATTCCCATCACCCAGACGAATAAAGGCTGCAAGCAGACCATTCTCCAAAAGGCACACCCAGCACCCTTCTCAGCACACCCAGCACCCTTCTCAGCTGAGTTCCCCTGTCTTCACTGGTCCTGCCAGATCCCTCCAAACTGCTAAACATTGTGTATTCCTCTAACACCAAGGCAAAGAAATTGCTGAATGTCCCAATTCCAGTTTGGAAATCTGGATTATCTTTACTCTGTTCCTCACCTCTCTGCCTTACCTTCATTTCCTTAATTTAACCATAAGAGAAGCACTGCAACCAGCACCATAGTAGAAGCACTGTGAAGTGGGAGCTACTTGTACTTCTAATACCAGCCTATTTAGTGGGATTAAGCTCAAGTACTCACAAATTACACTAAAGCTCTCATGAACACTTTCAAGTTCATCCCAACACTCTTGCAAAAAGATCTATGAAGGGATTTTAGCCTAAGGAAGCTTGGTAGTTTAAACAAGATTACCCTTAATGGAAGAGCAAAGGAAGCAGATGGGGATGCACACAAACAAACAAAAACTACACCTCTGCTCCTCCTTGACCTGAGTCTTTTTGTCTCCCATCACCAAATAGGTGTTATTCCCTTTTCTTCAGCTTCCTCAGAACTGTACTTTTCTTAGCCATTTCCTTCCCCTCCTGTCCTCTTCACCACCACTCCTGCTTGACAAAGTCAGAAGCAAACTACAGGCCCTGAGAAGCAGTACATTTGTTAACATGAACACATACACAAATGATTCTTCCTTACCACTCCATATGGGCAGTGAGATGTCCCATCTTAGACATGAAACAGCACTTTCAGTAAAAATGAGCCTGGAAACCCAGGTGTTACAGCAATGAGTATGCTAGGAGTGCATCCAGAACAGAAAATACTCAGAAATTATTAGTTTACCTGTTTCTAGCTGGTGACTTCCCTGCATCCTCCTGGACAGACCCAAGGCGTGCAGACAACGTGGTAGCTGAAGAGTCTGGGTGAATCAAACTGCAGGGAAAGGAGCATGGCAGAGATGTTTGAGATATCTGTGACATCCAGCACATCAGAACAACTGTAATTAAAGTACAGTTAATTGTCATGATACCTCTCACATCCATGATTGTTAAATCAACAAGGGAACAGGGAGAGCTTAGAGCTTTCCCCATCTGTAGGCCAAAGGTATCTGGAAGACAGTGCTCCTGTCTTCTTCCAAACTCAACTCTTGAACAATACAGACTATTCCTACTTCCTGCATTATCCTGCCTTCCCACCTGCTTCCCCTATTTCCCTTTCTTACACCTCTTCCTTTCCTACAGGCTGCTAGTAGAGGCTTTGGCACTAGATCTCTCCAGTATACCATCTTTGCAATCCAAGCAACGCTACCCATGGCTACTGCTAGACAGCTTTTGCCAAGAGAGCCTGACAACCTTCTGTAACTGTTTAACCTGATCCCAATCTCCTTCTGTTTCCATCCCAGGAGGAAGGACAGCAGATGTTTGAGCACCATCTAAAGAAATTCCTGTCGGCAAAACTGTATCAGACCTAAGCCGCTACAGGCCAACTGATACAGCCACACTGCTGTGCTCTAGCACAATAAATGCTCCTAGAATGATAAATGCTCTTCATGAGAAACTGTAAGCAATGCAGCTTTGCCTGAGTAGCTGTACTTATCCCAGAGTACACCACCCCTTCACTTTTAAAGGGCATGGCCCTTCAAATTAGTTAAAGCAGGAACTGTGTTCCACCTGTTCGAAGAGCAGAGCCACGTCTGACAAGTACATGCACCATCAGTCTCCCCAAATGCTTTTCTCACTGCTTTGCAGCATCTTATCTCAGATAGATTATTTTGGAAAGAGAAAACTGCCAGGTTTTCTTTTGAAACAAACTACTCCTCATGCAGAAGCCACTATTAGAACACAACCTCTGCTCCATTACAAAGTTGTGAGTTATCAGTTCCCATCGTGGCACCATTTAAATTCAGTATCTTGTGTTTAAATATCTTAAGGTCAATCAGGAACTTACAAAACAGTATTTAAGAAAAGCACTGTAACCCCACTGCAAAGTGCAACAAGCACTGACGAAAACGTTAATCCTGCTAAAGCAACAATAAACCACCTAATTCCAAATCTCTCTTCCTCTCACACATAAAAGAGGTCCACATTTACTCAGTGTCTCTCAAAAAGACTGTGATATGAGTTATGAGTCTTTCAACAATAGGAATTATTTTGAGTGCTACAAATAAAGATATAGATTCTTTCTTTACATGCTCATGTCTACAGGCTGCTGAACTGTTGTTATAAAGGCACTAACAACACATCCGAAGACAAAACTAACAATACCTTTAGTATTTTGTACATTTGAAGAGAAGATTCTGAGAACATCTACTTATTTCCCAATTCAAAATTTGGTAGTATTTGTCCCATGCATTGTTACATTATCATTTTAAATGACCATAACATTAAACCAGAAGTACTTTTCTTTATTTAGGCCTAAACCTGATAATTTAAATGCTTCCAGACAGAAGCATCATATTCTGAAAAGCAACATGCAAGGCAAGAGCCAGGGTACTTTCTGAATACAGTAAATGGTTTGACAGGATTTTTTTTTATTGCTATCAGAAGAGCTGCTATGGGGCATATGTCACTAGCACTACCACTCAAATAAACAAAGGTTCTGACTCAAGACCTCCTCAGTAGTTTCACATCTGCCTGTTCTTCTGTTTTAGGGAAATGAGCACAAGTACCATACCTGACTATTTCTTCTTCCTCACAACACTAAATTAAATCAAGGTATTCTGAAAATAACTTGCATAGAACTTGAGAAGTACAGTGTTCTTTTACTCATGGTCCAAAAATAAAGATTCCCTTATTTGAGACCAATAGGAATAAATATACTTTGAAAGGAGACTGGAGGATCTTTATAGGTCCTCTCTATTGTCCACTTCATCTGAAAGGTGGTTACTTCCATCACTTCTCTTTTACCTACATAGAGAGTATTTCTTATGTTCTCTTGCCCCACCTGAAATGTGACAGGTAAAGCACCAGTGTTACATTGACTTGCCTCTCAATACAGTGGTGGTTAGATGGTGTGATTTTGGTTCTGTTTTTTTAAATTCTGAATACAAAAGCCTGCTCTGTCACTGGTATAGAATCACTGAATCAGTACATTAAAGGAAGAACTGCAAAGAAATTAAAACTTCACTAGAAATGTTTCCATATTTCAACATGAAGAGAAGAATATTGCAAGCAAGCACAGAATTAGATTCTTTTTACATGAGTTGGAATCTAAGTTTACTAGGTGGAAACCCCCAGCTTTTGTCTAGGCAGCTTTCAGCCTGAGAACAGTTGAAATTGCAGAGCTGAGCATGCAGCCATTGCCTTTACCTTTGCCAGGTCAGATCCTCCTCCAGGAAGATGTTGCGGCTGGCTTTGCGGCTCCCAACCGGTGTGCGCGGCTCGCCGGGATCCAGCACAGACACAGAGCATGCAGAATCCGACAGCGCGTTCAAGTCTTCCCCAATGGAGTTGCTGTCTGTGGAGTGTGCGTAGCTTAAGGCTATTTTCCGACAGTAAGTGCAGGCTCGGAGATCCCCTACGGAAAAGGGAACCAGAGAGTGTAAGCAAACAGAAACAAATAGAACTCTGTTCCTGCAGGATCAGAGGTGTATAGTGGTGGAAACAGAAGGATTTTCTGTTTCAAAACCTCTTTGCAAGTCTAATTCTCTTACTCTCTTAAAGGGCAAAACCCTCGATAATTACACACTCAGGGAGTTTTTCCAGGGCAAATGGTACCTAACACAAGATCAGTAAAAGAGGAGAGAGAAGAGAGGCAAGAAGAGGAAGAGGGAGAGAGGGAGGGAGGGAGGGAGGGAGGGAGGGAGGGAGGGAGGGAGGGAGGGAGGGAGGGAGGGAGGGAGGGAGGGAGGGAGGGAGGGAGGGAGGGAGGGAGGGAGGGAGGGAGGGAGAACACACGTGCCCACTGAAATGATGGCAGAACAGCCAGTCAGATATGACACTGCAGCTGATGTCTAGAATTTGGTAACTGGTATTTGAATGATTTTCCCCTGACTCTCAATTAAAACATGTGGCTCATACTTTAAAACTACTGTTACTCAGAGCAGCTTTTCCTCGGGCATACTTTATTGTACTGCACACTCTTGTTCAATAGTGGCCATATTTGTTTTGTAGTGTGGTAAAATTAGCAGGCATGGCATAATCCACCATCTTTCATAGAGAAACTGGTAGAATTAGGTCCTGTGGTTCTTTTTCTTGTTTTTAAGCCCACTACAGATCTGTACAGCATTTTCTAGAAGATGCCAGGATCTCAGATGCAGTAAACCAAACAGAGCTGAGCACACAGAGACTGCTCTGTTTCTCAGTAAATAAACCCTACCTGTGTAGCCCATGAATTTTCCAGGGATTTCCTGATTGCAGCATCGACTACAAAAGATCTGCCCACAAAGTCGACAGTGGTGCCTCCTTCGGAAAGTGGTGAATTTCTCACTACAGTCATAACATTCTTTGCACTGGCTGTCAGGCATCCAGTACTGCTTCAAGTCACTGTCCTACAAGAGAAGACAGCAGATAAAAGCTTCTTCTTTTGTAAATAAGAAAGCATGTTTAGTTTCATGATTCTTTGTAGACTATGCCTATGGAAAAGAAGATTTTATATATTCACATATCCATGCACATGTATACACACTCTTGCATAAAAGCACACAAAGGATTTTTCATGTGGTTTTACAGGGAGTCAGAAGGCTGAGAGCTCTGAATTAAGAGAATAAACCCAGTAGGACTTTGCCTCCTTGATCCAAGATGAAAGCAAAGCAGAATAAAATTATCATAGGATGTAGCAAGAAGTCAAAAATAAACAAATATATGAAGTAATGATTGCCCTCACCTCTCATTTGCCCCCAGCACATGAGAGGTCCTCAACTAGCACAATTTAATAATGAGAAGGAAAAAAATCCACCACATATCAATTGAAGCTCTTATCTAGGAGTAAATTGAGTTATCAGAAATTATCACTGCAGGAAGATCATTTCAACAGCTAATATTGGGATATGTTTTGAAAGGATTATAGATACATGTAAAAAGTTTTATTATTTGATCGCATTTTCAACACTTCAGTAAATAGCTGTAAAAGTCCATGACTGATCTTGTTTCAAAACTCCAGGTTAACTGCTATGTGAAGAAAACTGAAATTCACATTCAGCAGACAACAACATATATTAATTAACAGCACTGGTATAGCCACAGGAAAAACATAATCTTAAAAACAGAGAGTTAAAACTTCCATTGGTGTAGAAGCTATAGAGCAAGACAAATTCTCAATTGTGATTCTGAGCACACCAGCTGCAGCTCCCATGGATGGACACAACTGCTAATGGTCACATGACAGCTCTGCCTGTGCAACACTCTTTGCTAGAGTTCAGTTCTGGCAAAAAAGCCTTTTCAGAGGGACTGAATACACCATGTTTTTCTTAGGAAGAGAAACTGCTGCAAGCATTATCTCAAAACAACCAGAGAAGAGAGTAATCATACAAAAGAAAGGTGATCCCTGCTCTCGTTTTCACATAATCATAAAAACCCACTGGGTTTTATTTTAAATTGGGATTTATTTTTGGATATTTACAAAATAAAGTTTGACATAGCTGCTAGACCAATTTTGAGACCAAAGCAGTTATGATCAACAACACAATACTTTCATGCTGTCCTCAGGCAAGAAAACCCACACATAAAGAAGCTGAAGTCTGCTCAAGACAGTCTAGTTTTTTAGAGAATCTAGAATCACTTTTTAAGATAAACACTGAGGTTCAAGCAGGGAAAATTGGAGTGAAGAGCTTTGCCAAGGAACTGCTGCAAAGCTGCAGGGGATGCTATATAACAGTTTCTTTTTCAACATGCATAATAAGCCAGGTCTCTGGATCTCCCACATAGAGAAGGGCTGTTCCAAACACCAGAGCTGTGCCCCACACGCATGTGACTGTGTCCAGAAACCCAGTCACTGCTGGTCACACCTCCCAACTCTCTGCCCTCCTTGCAGGCTGTTCTTATCGTGAGGGAGGGTTCAGAACAGAAGTTTCGCCTGCCTTAGCAGTAAGGCTCATTAGAAAAGCACCTTCCAGAATCTGATACAAGCTTTCTACAAAAGTAAAGAGGTCTCCTGCAGAGACAGGCCAAGCCCACAGCAGGAACAAACTGTTACCTGAAGCGACTCAAGCAAAACATGGCTGCAGGCAAGAGCAGTGATGCATTACCTTTTTAACAGAAGTCAGCATGCTGACAACTAACAGATTGTTTCCAGAAGACCTGGTCATATTCATTTACTGCTGTATCCTGTCTGTTTCAGCACTCCTCCAGTAGCTTCAAATACATCTGAAAATCTCTAGGGCCTTCAGAAGTTGCCACAAACTGAAATATTAGTAAGGGGCATACTCAATGCCCTGCTTACTGCAATGAAAGGCTTCTGCTTCACTCTCAAAAATCTTGCCCTTTCTATCAAAGTAAGATTATTCTTACAAGCAGAACAGCACTGGAAGCTAAGTAAGTTTTCTCAAAGTCTACCTATAAAAGCTATCAAGCCAAAAGCTGTTTCCTTCCTCTACCAGTTTTTAATTAAATGTACTTTTGCCTGTTCATGTCTTGCCCACAGACATAGCTATTTATACCCTCACTTATAAATAGGTGTGGATTCTTTCCTCAACTACAGCCTCTTCTTAAAGGTATGGTCCAACTCAGCAGATGGAGATGAAATCAGCAAGTCAGTAGCAACCACTAGACTCTTGTCTATAATAGAGACTGATTAATGGGGCACACCTTTCTAGCAAATATTGCTGACCAATCAGTACCACAGTAAGTAGCAGATTTAAACCACTCCAAGAACTCTCATCATTTTTTGTGACAGTTAATGTGTTTCACCTGTCCATGGTTAGCCTTCTAGGGAGAAAATTATTAAGAGGTTTTTTTTCACTAGACTGGGTAACACATAAATGGGAAGGAGTCTAAAAAGAGAGCATCTGGTCCAAGCACAAGAAGCCAAGTAAACACAATGATTCACTCCCCCAATATGACAGATGTTTGGCAAGTCAAAAGTCAGCATCAAATGAAATTATTTCCCCTGCATTCACACAATGCTTTTTGAGTTTATTCACTCATCCTTCAAACATCCAGAAAAAACAATCCCCATGATGTATCTTAAAAAAAAAGCTCAGAAAAGCCCAGTAAAGAGTTAATTTTCTAGATGGTTTGGCCTACAAATCCTTCTAGAGAAGTACCTGGCTCTTCCCCTCCATGATTTCTTTGAGGCGTTTTAAAACAGTGCTGAGGCTTCTTAACTGAACTGCAGTTCGAGGATCATGACCTCCGAGAGGTGGTTCTACTTTCCTCCGATTGTCTGGAAGGGAAGAGAGAGCAATATTCATTCCTTCCATGATACATCAACATTCACATCGCAACACAAAGCCCAATTAGAGAGAAAAGCATTCACATATATATGCATTTTACAAAGTTACAATGTGTATGGCTCGTTGCCCTTGATGCCAGATAGTTTGCTGTGACTGACATTTTAAATACCGCCCTCTGTGTTTACAAGAAGCCATTTAAGTTCTCCGAGAATGAAAACATCTTTCAAAGAAGTGATTTTCAACCTACTAGATGAAGCTTGTAGTAGTCTGTTACAAAGCACTGAGGTCTCATTTTTTAAATGCCCTCTAGGATACTAATACTTGCAAAATAATTGCTACAATATACACATTCATTCTAGGAGTAGTACAAGTAAATGCTTTGACCTGAACTTATTTATAAATTATTACAGCAAAAAATCAGGACTCCATTGCTCAGTTCCTATTAAAAACAGTAATTCAGAAGTTCACATTTTTGAGGGGTTTGGGGTTTTTTTTTGTTTAGTTTTTTTCCCAACAAAAACAGCAGGTTGTTGAGAACTTGTACAGTCATTCTTGATTAACTATAGCAAAAAGACTTCCGTAATAAAAATGCAATGCAGCTAATTTCTTTTACTTTGAAGCATTGCTGAACAAATTACAAATACGCTCCTTCTCTCCAGGAAGATTTGAAATCACAGCTCTCTATTTACCTAAACACTTAAACATTTTCAGAGTCTCTTTCCTAGATTAATAACTTTCTGAATAGTTTAAAGTTTCTTACCAGCTTCGTTGCTGTCCATCTGACTAGTGTTTTATTTAGCTTGCCCCTAGCACAGGAAGAGCAGACATGGCTGCTCCCTGTTTACTGCCTGAGCTCTCCCTGATGTCAGCAGAACGCTGACAGCTCTGCCTGAAGCCCGTTAACTGTTGCTGTGCAGTAACGGCTATGCTACTGTTCTGTGTGCAGCAGACCACAGCCCTCCCTTAACGGGACTAAAACTGTGGGATTCCATGCCTCCTCTTCAGCTTCTTAGGAGGTATTTTTAGTCAATCAGCCCACACTCTGCTGCTATGTACAACAAAGAATGCACATTTTCCTTTTTAAGAAAAGAAACCCATTTCTGTAACTGGCCACTTGGACTTGATTTCTTTTTAAAAATCAAACAGACTTTTGGGCAGTACGAAATTCAGTATTTTAGGGTGATTAAGGGAACCTTCATATTTCAGGAAGACATTGATAATACTAAAGAAACCTTTGGCTCCTCCTTACTTCTATCACAAGATCTGTGCTGTGTTTACTTCCTGATACTTCCTCCGAATTCAAGAGTATCTCCTTTCCAGGAATGTTGCTTCCAATTCAAAGAATTATCAGATCTACTGCCTAACTGCCAATAAATTTTGTCAGGCAAGTGACTTCCAAAAACAAACATACACAGCACTGAGGAAATGCCACAAGTAACTCCACACTGGTTCTTGTTAGTTAAATGCCCTTTCCTCTGTTGCATAAAACAATGTCAGAATGATGTCACTCACATAAGAAAAAGTATGCCATCAGCAGTAGCAGCACATGGCCAAGCTGTTTATACTAGAGAAACTGACTGATACCCAGATTAAAATTCAGCTGGTTCTTTTCCTTCTCAATAATGAGGTTTCTCCCTTACTGAGGAAAAACATTGTATAGCAAGAAAGTAAGAAGTGAACATTCCTGCAGTAAAGGAAACACAGTCTAAAACACCATCCTTCAAAAAGAATTTCCAGGTTCAATCTTAGGTTAACTCTTACCCCTGATCCAAACTGCATTATTATAAGTTAATTTTTAACTTCTACAGCTAAAAAAAACAGTTAACTTATTTCAACAGCAAACATCATCCTTCCTATATGCATTTACGGTTGCTGATCCTTGGAAAAACCTAAGGAAAAAAACTCTAAAGTATAAAGTATGTTTTCACAGAGTTTCATGATTCTACAGTATTTTAGCATTCATTTTACAGTGAATGACAAGGCAAAAACACCACAAGAACTACTTTGTTGCAACCTATAGTTTCAGTTTACAGGAGAACTGACCATACTGAACTATACAAAAGGTAGAGATTCACACAGTTTCAACAATAAAAAAACACCCCTGCCAGAGATACTAGTTTTGCCAATACGAAACATCCCAAATTGTTTTCTAATTACTTGCTGCCACAGCGTAAAATTTCATATTCAATTTCACTTTCACAGTTCAAATATCACATCTTCCTCAAATCACTGCCATAAAAAGTACTGCCATGAAAAGTAGGAAAACTGCCCTTAACTTCATTTTATAGCATGCATTTTCATGTTCCAAAATCTTTTTGATTAGAAAAGATGCTGTGGTAGTACTTCACGCTCCACAATGGTTTCCAGTAAGTACCACCTTCCTGAGGCCTTCTTCCCCTATATGATCATTGGCCATTCCTCTGTTCCTGCTAAGCTCTTTTGCCACTCCCTATCACTGCCAGTCCGCTACAATTGTCTAGCATTAACAGCATTATCCTGCATGACATGGTGACAAGCTAGAAGTGCTTTTACTACCCATGCTCCCTCTGCAGCAGTCAGCATTTCCAGTTCTCCTTAAACAGGATTTACAAGCTGTGACATTATCTCAGTGACAACAGTCTGATTGTTGGACTATTTTGGTTCAATCCAGCACCTTGAAAGCCCTGATCTGACAGCACAGCACACGCAATCCAACACAACCAGCACACAATGATGCAACAGACTACCCAAGAGAGGCCACAGGAGCCATTGAAGAGTCTCAGCACTGGTTCTTCAGCCACACAACCCTCAGAGCATCTCTGACATAAGCCAGGCACCCAATGCTCCTCCTATTTTCACAAAAGTCAGTAAGGAGCATTTTTGGGTAAGCAGTCCTGAAGGGAAGCACAGAACCCAAACCCTACACAACTGCTGCCAGACAGTGTCCTCCAAAAGCCACCATCCCTCCATGCTGTTCTGCACTTGCAGCTGTCAGACAGCATGGTCCCCAAGCATTGAGATGTGTGGCACAGACACCACAAGCTAATGGACATATGAGGGGTGAGGGTCAGCATCTTCAGGAGCAATTTCATGTCATCACTATTTAGAGGCACTAGAAGCAACCTTTTATTTATTTATTCCTTTCAGTTTGCTTAACTTAAAAAATTATTTAAGATCAAGTAGGCTAGGGAGACCTTTGTGAAGTGCTTATATATTTTCCTGCCTACACCTGCCCATGTTATTAAGTATCTAAGTAATGGCAAAGCCTAGAGAGACATTCACAGGCCTGTGGACACAGGGCTACAAGAAAACTTAATTAAACACCTCTCTGTCACTGAAGTTAGCGGGTGACCCAATTTACCAATCTGGATGTTTAAGTAAATCCCATCACTTATTTTCCTGCTTTTCACCATTTAGATATGATAATAATTTCTAAGATTATTTGTGCAGGCCAGCATCAGCTGCAATAGCAGAAATAAAATTCTCTGCTACTCAAAGACCTAATTATTCAGCACCACTTAAGGTCAAAAAAGGAAAGAAAAAGAATTTTCTAAAGTTTGCTTCAAAAAACCCAATGCCTGACTTTTAGAGAAGGAAACTGCAAGTATTTTTCCCTCTCTTCAAATAAAGTGAGATGGCCTAAAACACTCCCCCAGACCTTCTCACTAATCCAATACACTTTTACATGTGTCACACAGAGATCATGTTTGTTACAGCATCAAGGCTGTTCAGGAGAAAATACCCAATAGCAAGTCAGGCTGCTCAGCACAAGGTACCACAGAAATCTCTTCAAAAAAGTGAGCAGCAATTCCTGCTTGTCTTAACTTTACTTCTTTACATGCTAATTCATTATCACATTTTTCTAAGCATATTTTTGTCCAAGCCCAGAGATCTGAATGGAGGTCCTGAAAAAGAGCTGGAATACTACAGAAACAGTTCCTCCCACACACCTTAAACTTATTCCCTGGCTGCCCAATCCCAAAGGAAGTCAAACAGCAAGATTACTTCTGCCTTCTGAGTATCAAACAACACACTTCACCTGAAGGTTTCTAACACCTAATCCCGAGGCAATTTCCAAGTGATTTACAGGAGGTACCAAGTAAAAGTAAATTGGCTTATCAACCAAGAGCACATGGTTGTTCTTGAGACATTTGAGAAAATTCTTTAAGAAAGAGCCCAAGCAAACAAAACAAAAACCCCACATTAATTAATTAATTAACTCCCTTAATTGGTTCGTTGGATGAAGTATAACTAAAAAGATCAAATACTACTAGAGGGCAAGGAGGAAGATGACGAACATGTTTAACCAAGCATGCAAATGACTTAGGTAAAAATGCTAGTTCTCTGTACTAGACTTTTGCCTGGCTACCAAAACGACAGGTCTTTCTGAAAATCCCATACACATTAACAACATTTAGGATCTGATTTGTTTGCACTAAGTACTACACTCTTGGAAATACTGCCTTGCACAAGATTGTTATCCAGTTTAGCAGTTTCCTCAAGGCTATCAGCAACAGCCAAGAGCAACCAGTCAGATCTCAAGAGGGACCCCTCTAATCTACTTCCTCACTCTTTCACATCTTCATAAAGCCATTACACAGTTGCACCTTTGAAATTACAATCAATCCATACAAAATCTGGCAATAGTGTAGACAGAATTGAAAAAAACAATCTTAAGCACAACTTCCTATTCAATTCTCCTCAAAACAACTACAAGCAAAAACCTTCATTTACAACTCCCTTGAAGACCCAAACACCAAATCCATCCAGACTAAGCACTGAAGTTAGAGGTAGCATGTGGATGTTAAGAAACTGTAGTCTCTCGAGACAAAGCAGAAATGGTCAGGATCGAAGTTCAGGTGACTTTAAAACACTGGATGTGTTTGGCAGCCTCTTCTGTTCCAGACTGTTTTCCAATTAAAAAAGCAGAAGTTGCCTTGCTGGAACACCAAGAAGGGTGGAGGGTTATTAGGTTAAAGTGCAACCTCCCTAAGAGAAGCAGTGTAGCCTGATACTAAATTCTGCTATGAATCTAGACACTCAGTGAGCCTTTGCTCACATCCTTCCACCTCCCCCTGAAGCATCCTGGCTAGTACAAAATTGCCTTATAGAACAAAGAGCTGAAATTACCCAGAGTTGCAGAAGATCTTCTTTGCAGCTCACCACTCAGTTGTTTTTTGTAAGGGATTGGTGATCTCAGAGACTGAGCCCTGGTGGGATGCTGAGGACTGGACCAGCCACCACTCAATGCTTGTGGATCACTCTGTCCTGCCTCTGCTCTCTCTGCTGGGGATGAAAGCCTGCCATCATCTAGAGTTGACAAAAAGCAAGAAACCACCTGTTCAGACATGATAAAGAAAACCAGTAGTACACACAAAGCTAAAGTTAAAAAACTCTCACAAACAGCTCTTTTGGATCATGATATAACAAAACAAATGAATTTTTAGTTTTAAAAGTACTATACACATCATAGAAACAGGACAGTAGGCTGTCTTCAAGGCTCAAGCTATTTCAGAAACTCTCTAATGTGAAAAGTGTCAAAAAAACCCTGGCAGATTATTCATGAATCCAAATGTGAATTATTCTTGCAAAATAGAATAGCTACACTTGACTATCAGCTTCTGCCTTGAAAAGAGATTTTCTGTTATTTTACAAGCCAGTACTGAGGTCACAGTAAAATTACCACAGCCTTTATTTTCCATCAGCAGATCAAGTATAGACAGGTTCTCATTGATTCCAGTAAGATCCACATTTCATGTGTTGTCTCAAGGTTGTTTTCCCATCCACTTAACAAAAGACATTGCTGACTCCAGCTACTTTTGTCAGACCAAAACAAGTGAAGCCAATATTGACCACATTTTATGCTACTTTCAATAAATTAGCAATGACAGGTGCTACTCTAGTATGCAAACTAATAGCAGTCATACCAAGTAATTATTTTTCATTCTGCATAAGAAGAGTCTGAACAGATTGGTTACACAAAAAGCTATTTGGCTCTTTTCCCCCAGCTCAAACATTGCTGAAGTATGCTTAACAGAGCTGGATAATGAACAGACTAAACAAAAGCAGCTGACCAGTGTGCCATCTCTAGTAAAGGGATACACAGACTTTGCACAAAATCCAGGTGCATTCATTCACCATTCTTAGCAGGATCTTTCTTTGAAACAAAAAGGAACTCACACAGTTCTTTTAGAGTTTGCTCACTGAGAACAATTTTAATGACACATGCAGTACAAAGGCCAAAATCATGTAATACTTTTAACATACAAAACTTTCACAACGCTTCAGACTTCTTGATGGGGAACACCTAAGCCATGCAAATTAAGACTTCCTGCTTTACTGCAGGTCAGCTGTCACCCAGCTGCAGGTACGAGATGCACAGGAAGGTGAGAGGTGGATGAAGTCTGAAGTAAGAACTTGCACTGGAAGGACAAGCGCACATTTTGCTCATGCAGGCTGGCAGAGGGTTACTTCTACTTTCAGCCCAGAAAAAAAAATCATACAGGCAAAGGAAATTCTGATGTCAAGCTAAGAATCTATACAATAGTACCTGCTAACTGGCTTGTCTTAGACTTTCATGGGCAGCTACAGATTTCCAGCAGCAAGACACTGGCTATCTTTCATAATAAAGCTCTCCTACACCATCCAAAAGCCAGATGCAACACCCCTCACAAAAGAGCTGACATCAGCCCTGTCACATTATGCTCTTATGTTCAGAGGTGTTTTTACAAGCAGCAAACAGCACGCACAAGGCATGCCCACACATTCCCCCAGCACCCACCTTTGCTGAAACGGAACAGATTTACAAAAGAACTGTAAGCTGATTTAAAAGGAGGCTCGTCCTGGTCAGGAGTCAGGGGTTTGAAGTGAGTGAGATGAGATGGGCTGCTGGGAGAACGAGGTAGGTCACTGCTAGAGTCCAGTGTCGGAGAGCGTTTCTCATCTGCAGCCATTTCAGGTGCCCTGGAAAGAGGTCAGCAACACACATTACACAAGGGGTGGTGAAACAGAACCTCCTCAGCCTTCTGAACAGGAGATGTCTCATTGGATCCTAGAGGACAGACACTCACCCAACTGACCACAGGCACCTACTATTAGCACAGATCAAAAATGCCAGAGAGGCCCATGCCCACTGCCCAGGCACTGACAGAGAGCAGCACCTCTGCAGAGTGTAATTCAGAGTGCCTACTTAAACATCCAGAGCAACAAAATAAACAACCGCTACACTGATGACACACTGCAGCAGAGGTTTATGAGAACTTGAAGTTTTCAAATGGAGACTCCGCAGGCATACCACAAAGAAGTTTTAACTTTGACAGCTTTTCTCCTAATGTTGTGACCTCTGCAGCCCTTGTAACAAAACTGAAAACAGGCATGCCTGAGCAAGTACAAGGCAGACTTGTTGTTTGGCCAGGTTAACTTCAGAGTGAGAAGCAGAATGAACTACAAACAAAAACAGGACTGAAAGATTAATTTCGGTGGGAAACTGTTTCCCTCCCCTCTGCATTACAATACAGGTGCTTGTGCAGGTTACCAGGGAAGCAACTCAAACTGTGGTTTACTTGTTGTCAAATCTAACACCTTCAAACATCCTCATTTTCAGGAGCAGCTCCATTTAGGAAAAAAAAGCAAAAACCCCAAACCACTTTCTGTATTAGAAGAAGCCATGCTTGTAAACCCTATTTTCTGTGTACCAAAGCTGCCATACAGCCAAGAGTCATACTTTTCCCCAACCCACATTCTTTAAGCTGATCAGACACCCCATTTCTTTCACAACACCTCACTCAGCCTGCATTTCTAGCCTGCTAGGCTAAGGTGCTTACTAACTTCATCTTTGTTTAAGAAAGATTTAGTGAAATGTTTGAGAGTAGGAACACAGGCAGCTGAGCTGATGGAGCCTATGAGAGATGCCTGATTTTAACCTGTGGCAAGGATCAAAACCCCTTATGAAACTACTACCTGCCTAGCAGCTGATACCCACTTCTTCACGACATAACAATCTCCAGTTCCCACAGTTGTTCCCTAGAACTTACAGGCATGTATTGCTCACTAGAATATTTTCTTCCAAGTTCCAAGAAGCCACACTGAAAGAAATTTGTGCAGTCCAGAGAAAATCAACATGATCAGCAGCTCATGTGGCAAAGTTTGACTTCTCCTACAAAGAATGCCAAAAAGATGTATCTGCAAGTCATTCACATGACTGCTCAGTGGACTTCTGCTTGTTATTCTGTACTTCAGCTCAGAGTTTCTTTTGCTATTCACATGTCCTCAGGAAGAAAGCAGAGAGGCATCATTTACAAGAGAGCAGAGAGACATCATTTACTAAGTTTCAAAAGAAACTTTGTTCAGATTCTTTATGTAAGGCTGAGTGTCAGTCTTCCACATCCCTCTACACTGTAAATCAGGGTATGTTGTTTTGTTGTTCATTTCACCAGTATTATTCAAACAGGTGATTTGAATGTACAGCAGAGTTCATGGAACATTTTCCTTGAAACACACTCTTCAGGTAAATTTGGGATTCTTTCTTCAGTCTTAAGGGAACTAATAGTTTGCTTTTTAAATGCTGAACATACAACAAGGGTGTACCTTCACACACACTACCACATTGAAAATCCCACTATGAAGTCAGTTTTGTAGGAAACTATGTTCATATTTCAGCAACTGACTATAGCCTGACAAGATAAGAGTTACAAGCAAGTCTCTGAATGTGCATTAAATATATCTATGTATATATATATGTGTGTGTATATATACATATGTGTGTGTGTGCTAATAGAAAAACTTGCGTTTCAAGGAGGAAAAAAACCATAACTGCTTCTGTCACAGCAATATTGGTCCAATTAAAACTATTAAGAAGAATAGCATTATGCCTAACATTAGCCCCAGAAACACCTAGATTTTCTGTGCTGTACAACACACTAGCTGTGGAATCTATCAGCCTTTCTATGCTTTAGCTGTCCCACTAAAGGGAAAATACTCCCACTCCCACCACAAGAAACCAAGAAATAGTCACTCCTTTGTATAATATGGGAAAGGGGAAAGCAAGGTGCACATATCGGTCAACAAGCAGAAAACCAGAGTACATTCCTCATAGGATCCTCACCAACAGTCACGGGGAATGTACCTAAGCCCCCTCGAAGCTGCAGCTTCAGCAATCACCAACTCACCACCGATCAAACACGGCGTGCGAGGGTGGCCGCCAGGCTCCCTCCCCACGCGCACTGCTGTTCCGGCACAGCAGGGCCGGGACACCCCGCGTCCCACAGACCTGCCCACAGCGGCTCAGTGCCAGAGGGACACGGCCCCTCCTTCCTGCACACACACACACACTCTCGGGCACCCGGATAACACACCCCGGTGCAAAACCACACGCAATTCGGACGTAACTGCGTGACTGACACGCTTCACCTCCAACCTCGGCGCAAGAGACAGCTGCTCCGCTCTCCCCTCCGTGAAGGGGACAACGCCGCCTTCCCCCGCCTGGCACGGCAGACCCGGAGATCACCTGCGACGGGAGGGCGCGGACGTGGTGGGCAGCGACCCCCGGAGAGCCGCCGCTGGCCGCTACCAGGGGCCGGCCCGGGCAGCCCGGAGAATGCGGGCGGAGCAAGGGTGCCGCAGAGCGGTGCCAGCGGCCCCCGGCGGGCGGTGCTCACCTGCTGCCCGCGGCTGCTGCCGGTGCTGGGGCGGCACCGCCGCTCTTCCTTCACCGCCCGGCCCGGCCCGGCGGCGCCGCCAGCCCCAACCAACCGCCCGCCGACCGCGCCGCTCCTGCCCAGGCATCGCCAATCGAAGCTCCGCGCGCTCGACCCGTCGGCAGCGCCCGGCCCCGCCCCTCGGCCCTTCCCGGCTGCTCCGCCCGGGCGCGGCACACCGGGCTGCTGCCTCGGGAGCCGCTGGCAGTGTGGCCAGCCGGTGTGTCCCCCGGGAACTCGGAGTTCACCCTATTTCATTAATATTCCCTTCTCTTCTATTCCCGCCCCGAGGTTCCTCCCCGGCCACTCTCCCCGCCTCGCCCCAGCCCCAGAGAGGTGCCGTTTCTTCCCCGGAGCTGTGGTGTCGACACCACCGCCCCAGTGCCAGCGGAGGAACCCTGCCCGTTGTGTGTATACCGCATCCCCGGGCTGGGCTGCTCTCCCTGGGCCACATCCGAGCCCCCCGGTGCCAGCGGCTTCCCTGTGCCGGCGGGCACTCACTGCGCGGGGGTGCCAGAGCGCGGAA